GATATAGAGTTCAAGGCCACGTTTATAAGGTTTTTCAAGAATTTTATGGAAACTGCCGATAAATTTAATGAATCCCTCAATAAGTATAGTGAGACCATGGAGGACATGAAAAAGGACCAACTAGAAATTAAGCATACACTGACTGAAATAAAGAATAATTTACAGACATCCAACAGCAGACAAGAGGATCCCAAGAATCAAGTCAAAGATTTGAAATACAAAGAAACAAAAAATACCCAACCGAAAAAGAAAAAAGAAAAGAGATTCCAAAAATATGAAGATAGTGTAAGGAACCTCTGGGACAACTTCAAGCGTACCAACATCAGAATTATAGGGGTACCAGAAGGAGAGAGAGGGCAAGATATTGAAAACCTTTTTGAAGAAATAATGACAGAAAACTTCCCCTACCTGGTGAAAGAAATGGACTTACAAGTCCAGGAAGCGCAGAGAACCCCAAACAAAAGGAATCCAAAGAGGACCACACCAAGACACATCATAATTAAAATGCCAAGAGCAAAAGATAAAGAGAGAATCTTAAAAGCAGCAAGAGAAAGACAGTCAGTTACCTACAAGGGAGTACCCATACGACTGTCAGCTGATTTCTCAACAGAAAGCATGCAGGCCAGAAGAGAGTGGCAAGAAATATTCAAAGTGATGAATAGCAAGAACCTGCAACCAAGATTACTTTATCCAGCAAAGCTATCATTCAGAATAGAAGGTCAGATAAAGAGCTTCACGGATAAGAAAAAGCTAAAGGAGTTCATCACCACCAAACCAGCATTATATGAAATGCTGAAAGGTATCCTTTAAGAAGAGGAAGAAGAAAAAGGAACTCTTACCATTTGCCACAGCATGGATGGAACTGGAGAGCGGATAAATACCACAGGATCTCACCCATTTGTGGAATATAATGAACAACATAAACTGATGAACAAGGACTGATCCAGAGACGGAGAGGCATTGATTGGACTGTCGGGCCTTGGAGGGAAGGTAGGGGAGGGTAGGGGTAAGGGGGAAAGATCAACCAAAGGACTTATATGCAAGCATATAGGCCTAACCAATGGACACGGACAACGGGGGGGTGAGGGCATGACCGGGGGGGCGTGGGGGGTAGAGGGTAACGTGGGGACAAGGACACATATGTAATATCTTAATCAATAAAAAATATATTAAAAAAAATGTTTCAAACTGCAGGCTCAGAGGCCTGCAAGGCAGGCGGGGAACGTTGGTTTCCTCCGTCACTGAAGCAAGCAAGCCTCATGTTAGTTTCAAGCCGCCTGGCTGCCGGCTGCCATCTTGGCTGACAGTTAATTTGCATATCGCCCTGATTAGCCAATAGGAAGGGTAGCGGTCGTACGCCAATTACCATGTTTCTCTTTTATTAGATAGGACTAGAGGCCCAGTGCATGAATTTCATGCATGGATAGGGTCCCTAGCAGCTGCCAGCCGGGGCATTCCTTTGTTCCATGTCGCCGCCTGGTGGTCAGCGCATGTCATATCAAGTGATCGAACTCCCAAGGGGATACTTTGCATATTAGGCTTTTATATATAGACTAGAGGCCCGGTGCACAAAAATTTGTGCACTCGGGGGGCAGGAGGGGTCCCTCAGCCCGGCCTGTGCCCTCTCGCAGTCTGGGACCCCTCGGGAGATAATGACCTGCTGGCTTAGGCCTGCTCCCGGGTGGCAGAGGGCAGGCCCAATCCCTAGGTGCAGCCCCTGGTCGGGCTCAGAGCAGGGCCGATTGGGGAGTTGGGGCACCGCCCCCTGTCACGCACAGAGCAGGGCGATCGGGAGGTTGCGATGCCACCCTCAGTCACGCTCAGGGTAGGGCCGATTGGGGGGTTGGGGCACCGCCACCTGTACACTCAAGACAGGGTCGATGGGGAGGTTGCGGCGCCCCCCCCCCCCCGTCACGCACAGTGCAGGGCCAATCAGGGGGTTGGGGCGCTGCCCCCTGTCACGCACAGAGTAGGGCCGATAAGGGGGTTGGGGAGCTCCCCCCTGTCACGCACAGAGCAGGGCCGATCAGGGGGTTGGGGAGCTCCCCCCTGTCACGCACAGAGTAGGGCCGATAAGGGGGTTGGGGAGCTCCCCCCTGTCACGCACAGAGCAGGGCCGATCAGGGGGTTGGGGCGCCGCCACTGTCACACTCAGGGCAGGGCCGATGGGGAGGTTATGGCTCTACCCCATCACACACAGAGCAGGGCCCGTGGCGGGGGGGGGGGAAGTTGGGGTGCCGCCCTCTATCACCCACAGAGCAGGGCCGATCAGGGGGTTGGGGCACTGCCACTCTCACACTCAGGGCAGGGCCGATGGGGAGGTTATGGCTCTACCCCATCACACACAGGGTAGGGTCCGTGGGGTGGGGGGGTTGGGGCGCCGCACCCTTTCACACACAGAGCCGCAGGGCGATCAGGGGTTTGGGGAGCTCCCCCCTATCAGGCACAGAGTAGGGCTGATCAGGGGGTTGGGGCGCCTTCCCCTGTCAGGAACAGAGCAGGGCCGATAGGGAGGTTGTGGCCCCGCCCTCTGTCACACACAGAGCTGCAGGGCGATCAGGGGGTTTGGGCACTGCCCCCTCACGCTGATCCCGGTGCTGGGAGGCATATTACCCTTTTACTATATAGAATAGAGGCCTGGTGCATGGGTGGGGGCTGGCTGGTTTGCCCTGAAGGGTGTCCTGGATCAGGGTGGGGGTCCCCACTGGGGTGCCTGGCCAGCCAGGATGAGGGGATGATGGCTGTTTGCAGCTGGTCACACACCCTTCAGGGTGGGGGTTCCCACTGGGGTGCCTGGCCAGTCTGGGTGAGGGGCTGAGGGCTGTTTTCAGGCTGGGACTGAAGCTCCCAACTGCTCCTTTTTTCTTTTCTTTTCTTTTTTTTTTTTTATTCTGGGCCAGCTTTAGCTCTGAGGCTTGGCTCCAGCTCTGAGGCCTCAGCTGCTGAAAGTAGGTATCTGGTTTGTTTAGGTTCTATAATCGAAACTCTGTATTAACTCCAGCTCTGAGATCCCGGCTCGCTGAAAGCAGGTTTCTGGAGTTTTGTTTAGCTTCTATATTTGTTACAATGTTCAAACTGCAGGCTCAGAGGCCAGCAAGGCAGGTGGGGAACGTTGGAGTCCTCCGTCACTGAAGCAAGCAAGCCTCATGTTCAGTTTAAGCTGCCTGGCTGCTGGCCGCCATCTTGGCTGGCAGTTAATTTGCATATTGCCCTGATTAGTCAATGGGAAGGGTAGGGGTCGTACGCCAATTACCATGTTTCTCTTTTATTAGATAGGAGTGACTATATTTCTTATGCTGTATTTTACATCCCCATGACTATTTTGTAACTACCAATTGGTACTTCTTAATCCCTTCACTTTTTTCACCCAGTCTCCCAAGCCCCCTCCCCTTTGGAAACCATCAGTCTGTTCTCTGTATCAATAAGTCTGTTTCTGTTTTGTTTTACTGTTCTTTAGATTCCACATATAAGTGCAAAATGGTATTTGTCTATGACTGACTTATTTCACTTGGCATAATACCCTCTAGATCCATCTGTGCTGTTGCAAATGGTAAGCTTTCTTTTTTTTGTGGCTGAATAATATTCCATTGTATATATGTACCACTACTTTTTAAAAAAATATATATTCTATTGATTTTTTAGAGAGAGGAAGGGAGAGGGATAGTCAGAAACATCAATAAGAGAGAAACGACCAGCTGCCTCCTGCACACCCTGCAACCAAGGTACATGCCCTTCACCGGAATCGAATCTGGGACCCTTCAGTCCGCAGGCCAATGCTCTATCCACTGAGCCAAACCAGCTAGGGCTGTACCACTACTTTTTTTATCTGCTTGTCTAATGATAGATACTTGAGTTGCTTCCATATCTTGGCTATAGTAAATAACACTGCAGTAACACTGAACATAGGGGTGCATATATTCTTTTGAATTAGTGCTTTAGATTTCTTCATATATATGCCAAGAAGTGGAATCTCTGGGTCATAGGGCAGTTCCATTTTTAATTTTTTGAGGACCCTCCATACCATTTTCCAATCTGCATTCCCACCAACTGTGCACAAGGGTTCCCTTTTTTCTACATCCTTGCCAACACTTGTTTGTTGATCTGTGAAGTAATTCTAAGTCATTGGTCACAGGTGAAGCTATAAGATAGGTGGGGTCAAGATGGCCCAGAGAACTGTGTGTATGTATGTGTGTGAGCGTGTGATTTTTTTTTTTTTTTACAGTGGCTGGCTGTCTAAAGTATTTTTTACAATATGTTTAATAATCAGTGCTTTAAAAGCAGTGGTTTCCTACAAAGTGGAAATTAAGGTCCAAGCCTGGAGTGTGAAGTGGAGGTCACGTTGCAATGTCACCGCCTGTGAGTGAAGTCTGGTCTGGGGAGCCCAGGGCGGCTCGTGGACACTCGTGGTGGCAGGAGCCAGGCTGCCCTTCAGAGACAGGACCCACTGCGGCTGTGCGGCCTGCCTTTTCATTTCTAATGGGATACAGTACTTTTTAAATAAGGAGTCATACTTTTTTTTTTAAGTTTGAGAAAGGAATGTGATTTCTAATTGTATCAGACATTAATGTTTTAAAACTATAACAAAGTTTAAAATTTCTACATTTTGTTTTTCATTTATTGTAACTGTTCTTTTATCTATTAAATTGTATGTGGATGGGGACGTTCTGTTTCCCCTCTTAGCATTTGTTTCTATAACCAGAAATAAAGTTATATATTAAAGAAATGAAAAAAAAATATGGCCCAGAGATAGGGTTGCCAGATTTAGCAAATAATGTGTCCCAAATGTTGCATGGGACATAATTATACTGAAATCATTATTGCTTATCTGAAATTCAAATTTAACTGGGTGTCCTGTATTTCATCTGGTAACGCTACCCAGAGACCTTTTGGGTCTGTGTATTAGTTTCATTTTCTCTTGACAGAGCAGAAATAGTCTCTTCTTCATCCTGTTTGCTATGCCACAAAGAGCACAGACAACACCATAAGAGTCAAAGCCAGCAGAGGTTAAAATCTCCTACATGCTTTATTGGACTTCAAAGAGTCTTATGAAATAACACAGAAAAACCCATGTGAGGGTATCCAGGGGGTACAAGGCAGTCTGCAGCCTACCCCCCTCCTAAGACCAGCCCCAGGTACCCCCACCCCAGGCCCAAAATAGGATCCCAGAGTAAAGGCATGTCAAGGAGTGAGGCAGAGGGAAAATATCTTTATAGCCATAGCAAAAATAGGTAGGGAAGAGAGTTGTCTAAAGGGTGGGAAGGGTGGGAGGAAGTGGTCACATAGCCACCTTCACCTACACCATCTTCCTTAGCCACCCCCTTCCCTAAATCGACTGTGTCCTTTTTGAGCCTCTGGCCCAGGGTATGCCGTAACATGAAAACGGTTCTGATAAGGGGAGTGTGTGGTGCAGGCACTTGGGAAATTCAGGAGATTTCTTTTTTTCAATTTTAAACTGTCTTGTGGTTCAAATGCAACAACATCCTGCCCAACAGCTCCAGGGCCCCATTAGAGACCTGTATCATGGCTGCGGCTCCCATGGCCAGGGGAGCCAGTTGTCCTGATTGCTAGTACTGATGCTTGGGGAGCATTTGGGCAGCACCCCTTATAGACAAACCCTCCTACAGTGTGGGGGAGCAGGGATAAGAGAGAGGCAGGTGTGGGTGAGAGCAGAGAGAAAAAGTGACTGCCTTGTGGCACATAACTCTAGCATCTACTCCTCCTCCAACTAAGAAGTCTCTCCCGATTTATCCCTTAGCGTGGCCTCTCTTTATAATTCTCTAGTGGCTTGTTCTCTGGGAATTGGTTTCACTCCCTCATTGACTCCTGGAGGCCTGAGTGAGCACCAGGCCACGATTTCCTCTGGCTCACAACATTCCCAAAAAACAAACCTCAAATATTAGGCCCTAGGACCCAGTTTGGGGCAAAGAGAACCATCATACGTGGGGTGGAATAAATCTGAGGCACAGGTGTCAGAAGTTACTCCTCCTATCTTCCCCCATAGCTGCTAGGGGAAGTTGGGGAGTGGTGGGAGGGAAGAGACTGAAAGCAGGAGACAGAGAAAACAAGAAACCAAACCTCAAAACTGGGACAGCAGAGACAGAAGCTGGACCTCAGAGGTGGAGCTGGTAGCTGTGGGGACAGCAACTAAGACATGCACTGAAGTGGAGAGGGAGTGATAGCAGCAGCCCAAAGTTGGAGGGAGGCAGGGCAGGCAGGCCATGGTGGTCAGTTAATAAATAATGTTGAAGGACCCAAGGATGAGGGGGGCAGGTATCTACAGTGCCCAGGCCCCTGCTAACCCCTCCCAGGCCCCACTTTAAGGGCCAGTATCTTAGAAGGCAGAAAAGGGGAGGCAGAAGACCAGGGAAAGATAAGCGGTCCTGCCACTGCCACCCTCATTCTGCCTACTTCTTAGGTTTTTTAAAGATTTTGAGGGGAAACTTCTTCCGGCCTGGGCTGGAGTCTGCCTCCTCACCAATAGAGCCATTATCCTCCTCAGCCACAGCCTTCTTGCCAGCCAGGTGGGGAATTCGTGTATTTCGGCTGGCCTGTGAGGCTCGGCTGTCCCCAACTGGAGATGGCATGTCTGGGTCTGGGGAACTGGGGCTGTGAGAATGGGAAGAATCCAAAGGTGGAGAGCCACCAGGTGGGGCTGAGGGGCTCAGCTCCATCAAGCTGTGGGCCTTGTCCAGCCCGTGGTTCAGCGCCAGTAGAGTCTTCTTGGCCAGGGCAGGGCTATCAGGCAGCTTCTCCATCGCAGACCCTGGGTGGACCCCCTCAATCATCCGGTGGCTGCCATTGGAAGTCATGGCATTGAGAGCCTCATCTGCAGCACGGGCCATCTGAGGAGGTTTGGGGGCCATACGCTGGCGGTCACTCATGTGGAGGGAGGACTCCGAATCGGAATGGGTCAAATCCCTGCAAGACAGGACAAAGAAGAAGAAAGGAACACATACAGGACAGAGGAGAGAGAGACAACATGAAAAGACAGGACAGGGTATGAAAATGGGGGTAAAGAGAACAGCAGGAGAAATGGAAATAGGATGAAAAGGCATAGTGGGAAAGAGAATGATGAGAAACAGAAGGAAAATGAGTAGGTCATAAGTACAGGATGACAGAGGAGGCAGGAATAGGGAATGGGGATAAATTGGAGAAGAGACAGAGAAAAAAGAATAAAATTGGGGAAGAAGGAAAGCAAAAGAAGAAGCCAGACCAAGGGGGAGGGAGGGTGGGAAACAAGGGGGAAAAGTGATGGGGGAAGAAGAGACAGACAAGAAGAAGCAAAAGCAAATGTCATATCATCATCTGTCAGGCAAAGGGTTTTCTAATGCCTGGGCCCCACCCTTGAAGAATGGCCAGGCCCTAAACTAGGGCAACCACAGGCTTCAATACCACAGGCATTCTCCTCATTATAACAGCTCTGCTTTCCCATAGCTGGTTAGATTTCTTAAGACTCAACCCTAGCTAACACAGAATCCACATCTTGCTCTGAGTCACCATTTTCCATGCCTTCCTCCCCCACTTACTCCTGTCACACCCTGGGACACATCCAGTTTGGGCCAGGCTCCAAGAAACAGGGCACATGCAGTAAGTGGGCCTGACCCAGGCTGGGGAGGAGATAGTTAGAACAGCCTTGCAAACAATCACCCACCCAAAAAGGCCAGGATGCTGCCTCCATCAACCCTCTCACAGGATTCAAAGGGGGTCATAGAGAAGTGTTGCAGAGTTCAAACCAAAGTCGGCTGGCAGCAGGAAGGGTGGAGTCTTTTTCAAAGCTCTGCTGCAAGGGAGAATGGAGAGAGGTGCAGAAAGACAGGATGTTTGGCCTTTAAGGAGCAGTGGTTCAGAAGAGCTGCACACTAGAAATCATAGGTTTGATTCAATTTCCATCTCTGCCTAAGGTTTGGACAAGTCATCTAAACTTGCAGGTCCTCAATTTGGGCCAAATGAAGATAATACCAATTCAATTATCTTGCAAGACTGTTTGGGGGATCAAATATGTTGGCAAAGTACTTGGAAATGTAGAAAGTATAGTGGGAATGATGATGATAAGGCTGGTCAAGCTGAAAGACCCACATGGGGGCCGGTCACAAGAGGCTTCTTTGCAAGGCTGAGTTATGGGGGTGTGGCACTGTGCACTGGACATGCATACACAGAGGCTAGTCCATAAAGTTGAGAACCTTTCGAAGCTGGCAATTCCTAAAAAAGCCATGAACCAATTCTGGATGCCACCCCTCCAGCCGCTACAGAAAAAAAAGGTACATGTGGGGGTCCCCTGCCAATCCCTTAACCTTCCTTCTGCTTTCCCAGAGGCCTGAGAACCCAGAGTAGAGGAGAGGGCCAAGGCAGATGCTTAAATAAACAAGTCAGGAAGCCAAAAGGGAAAGTGTTGGAAGTGGGAGAGGGGAGCACCACAGGACCTGGGAAGAAGGAAGCTTATGGGTCAAAAATTAGGAAAGGCTCCAGGCCCTTAAAATAGGCAAAAGCAGGAGGTTGGCTCATAGCTATTATACAGAAAGTGGGCAAAAGTAGGTTTATAGTTGAGAGCGAAACAGTTTATTCTTGTATAATTATTTATTATTGTATTATTTTCCATACAAATAACTACAAACCTACTTTTGCCCCACCCTGTAGGTTTAATTTTCAGTAGGAAACAATTAACTAAGCAGCCACCCCATGAGTCAGTACCTTCCTGGAAAGGATAGCAGAACACAATTCTATCTCCAACTCCCATTCTACAAATACTGTTTCAGCCACATACTCTTGTGTTTACCAATATTTGGTCTCATATTTGTTTTCATAATATCTGATGCTGTCCTTGCTTCTATGTAAATGTACCCTTGCTTCTCTAAGCCCTAAGATGATCATCTCCATATCCTGCCTTTTCCTCATACATACGAACCACCACTGAGCATGATGCCAAGGAAGTTCTGAGGAGCAACACTAGAAAAGGGCCCTTGAGTCTGAGGTGGTAAGGCTCCCAGGAGCCAACCTTCTTTTTATTGGGAGTGAGGGGGTTTGTTTTGTTTTTTAATGATTCGAGAGAGAAAGAAAGGGAGAGCGAGAAAGAGGAGAAACATCGATGTGAGAGAGAAATGTCAATCAGTTGCCTCCCACAAGTGCCCCGACTGGGGATTGAACCCTCAACCTAGGTATGTGCCCTGACCAGGAATCAAACCTACAACTTTCTGGTATATGGATGACACTCCAACCAGCCAGGGTGGAGCCTACCTTTCTAATGCCAAGGAAGAGAGGTCAGGCTCTCTCCTCCAGGCCCACAGCCCCATTTGGTCATGTTTCCCATCTTTCTATGCCTTCTCCATCAACTAAAAGCTGAGACTCCCAAAGAAAGAAAAGAACTTGGGAAGAAGCCTGGATAGATATAGGAGAGACAAGGTCCACTGAGGCAAGCTCATCTTCCCTCCCTGAATCTTTGAGACAATTCAGGCCAGGGGTATCCCTCCCCAAAGGCTGGGCTGCCTTGGGCTCCCATCCCAAACTACTAACCTTACTAGAGAGCCTGTTAGCCTTTAGAGACGATCCTCTGGTGCATGGTGCAAAAGAAAATTAAGCAGTGAATAGGCCAAGTGGATGCAGGTACCTTCCCACCCACCCTCCCCACTGGCCTCAGCATGGGCCTTGGAACATGATATTCACAGCATCTCCTAGTGCCCCCAAACCAACTCAGTACTCTCCATCTGTTTTGGTAAAAAGCAGCCTCCTTGCCTGGGATTTTGGATGAAAATGAGGATGAGAATGAAGATGAGTAGCTCTGCTGAGCAATAATGCTAGTAAAGGCAGTTCCTTGTGAAAGAAAAAGGAACAGCCCTCAAGGATAACTATCCAGAGGTTCAAGGGGCAGAGCTAGAGAGCTTGGTATCCAGAGGGAGGCAGGACCAAAACGAAGCAACAGGGTAAGCAGGATGCAGCCCAAAGGCCAGGACTGGGCCATGGCTACAATTTCAGAGATGAGTGGCTCTTCCAGAGGAGATAGACTTTCTGAGGGTCCCTAAGCTATTCCAGACAACGTCAAGGCTACTATCTTGGATCCTTGCCTATCATCTTGAGGTATCAACAGGGCAAGTCCCTACAACTGCCAAATCAAGCTGTGTAAGAAAGCTTCCTACCAATTCTTATATGACCTTGTGGAAGGACAAAAATATCCAACAGTATCCTAGAATGGAACACCAAGTTCCAGTCTATGTTCTGCTCCTAATTAGTTGTGGGGCCTGAGGAAACTACTCTACTGTTCAGAGCCTTAACTTCCTACTCTGACTATTTTGATGTCTGCCTCACCTACAAACTTTTCTTGTCCAAAACCCCTAAACATGTCTACCCTCTTCTGTTCCCTAATTCCAAGTGTCATCACAGACTCCTCCTCCTCCTCCATCCCTCATGGCCAGTACTAAATTAATCCTCTCCTTTCCATCCCAACACCTTATTACCTCCCCTAGTGGTCTATTACAATGACTTCCAAATTCCTGTTGTCTCCTTTTCTTATTTAGACTACTAATATGTTATTTCTAAAATGGAAATCTGATCAATTAACTTCCTTGTGGAAATTCTTTTGCAGTTCTCTGTCTCTTACAGGGTAATGGCCAAAGCCCCTAGCCATTCAGAGCCCTTCATCATTCTAGCCTCATTTGCTACCCCTTCACACCAACACATACCCAATGTTCTAACTACAAATATCAGATTCTTTTGAATTTCCAATGTCTCTGCACATGTTTCCTCAGCTTAAAATACATTTTCTCCTTTTACTGTACACAGGATGTTAGCACAAATGCCATCTCTTTTGTGAAGTGTTCCACCCAAGTACACACTGTTAGTCACTCCCTCCTCAGTACCCCCATAGCACTTAGCAAATTGTTCCATAATTATTTTTGTACCTCTCCCAGGTCAGACTGTAATCCTTGATGGCTGGGATTATTTATTATCATCTATGAATCCTCATGCCCAGCAGAACCTGGCACAGAGTAGGTATCAATAAATGTTTGTTGAGCCATGACTGGTTTGGCTCAGTGGATGGAGCGTCGGCCTGCGGACTGAGGGGTCCCAGGTTCGATTCCAGTCAGGGGCATGTACCTTGGCTGTGGGCACATCCCCAGTGGGAGGTGTGCAGGAGGCAGCTGATCGATGTTTCTAACTCTCTGTCCCTCTCCCTTCCTCTCTGTAGAATATCAATAAAATATATTTAAAAAAAAAATAAAATAAATGTTTGTTGAAGTAAAGGAAGTGAGGTCTCCACTGAGATAACGAATGTAAAAGTTCACAGTTTAGGCAAAAGTGCTACAGGACCATGAGGGAGGGGGTTAGATTCAGCAAACTCCAAACACAGAAGGGAAGAAAGGTGTGAGGAGGTATGCTGACCTTAAGGAATCCCAGGGCTGAGAAAGGACACACTGCACACACCCCCACAGCTGACCAAGCAGCAGCCAGCAGGCAGAGGCCAAGGTAAAGGCAGTAGAAAGGAAAGGAAGGGAAGAAAGAGAGACAGCTGATACCCCAAGCTCTCTGATTGCCCAGGCATCACAGTGGTGCTGTCACAAGTGGATGGGTCAGAGGAGGGATCCATCTGGAGGAAATAGGAAGTGCTTTGGTGGTAATAAACAGGGTGGACATGGATGGTGGTGGTGGTGGTGGCGGCTGCGGTGGTGGTGGTGGTGGTAGAGGAGCAGGAAGAAGGAGAAGCAGAGGCAGATGGAGAGCTGGTCCCATGGCCTTCAGAACTGAAAGACTGTCCAGATGAAAGGCTGCGCATTCGCCGCAGAGATACCCGGCTTGTCAAGAAGTGGCCAGCCTCACCCTCTACCAACCTCTGAGATCCCAGGCCATGCTGTGGTTCCGTCAGGCGCTGCCGGACACTACTTTGCAGGCTTGGGGCTGCAAGGAAAGTGAAGACAGCATGAGGAAGGGCCAGCCTACTTTGGGCTAGCAGGCAAGCAGGTGTGCCCATGGAGAAATGCCTGCTGGAGACCACTCTGGGCCTCTAGTGCCCAATCTGAAGAATGGGACACCTCTTCCCCAAAACCTCCCACCAGGGGTCCTAAAAGGGGACATTGAAGATAAGGTGCCTGGGTCAGTTTTAGTGGCAATTCCCATGGAAAGTGACCAAGGGCCAACATTACTATAAAGGGATATGACAAGGCAAGTTAGTGGGAGGACACAGGCAGGACAAGGTAGGATAGGGGTTAGGGGCAAGGTTCGGGAGAGCACTAAGAACCAGCCTTTCAGAAAGCCAACCTCAGGAAATAATTCATAGTTTAGACAAGGATTTATACACAAACATGTTCATCACATCATTATTAGTAATTGTGTGAAAGCAAAGACAAAGGTGGAACAATGAGACAATGATACTATACCCAGTTACTGGAAGACTATATACTTTTTAAAAATGCTATTTATGAAAAGATTTTAAATGCACAGAAAAATGTCTATTAACTAGTTAACTGCCACGTGTCCAAAACGGAAACCATCCCCACATGCCACGATATTTTGAATTTAATTTAAAAAATCAATTTGCAATGAATATTATAAAAATAAATATATTACAATTCGGATGTTCTTGAATATTTTCAGCTGAAAATTCTCACGAAAAAATGATTTTAAAGTTGGTCAGGGCTGCCACTTAGGGAAAACATTTTTTTTTTTTTTTTGTATAGACGCATGTGGCGTGTGGGTAAGGTCCTCTGCTTGCGTCTACAGACACTTATGGTGTACAAAGGGTTAAAATGCTCAGGGCAAACCAAAGGACACAACATTTTTTGTAAAAGAAATACCTAGACCTAGGGAATACAAAAGACTATAGAGTTTGAAACCAAGCCTTTCCACTGCTAGCTGTGACCTTGAGCAACTGACATTCCTATTTTAATGCCTAATTTATAAAATCCCGTAAGATGTCGTAAGGCTTCAAGATAATGTATTTAAAGTACCTGACACATTTCATGGCACTCAGTAAATGGTAGTGGTTATCATTATCTTGACCACATAAAAATTATTTTAAAATCTCACAAGACTCAAAGAAAAGGCGCTCATAAATGGTGGGACTATGGAGGCCTTTGTTGTGCTTATGCTTATTCTTTTTACTTCTTGAATTTCCTCTAATAAACATGTAAAAAACAAAGAACCAGCTCTTGAATCAATGCTACAAATCAGGCTCTTGGAAGATGATGGCCACCATGCCCAGTGAAGGGGGCTACATGGGCACCAGGTAACGCAGGAATGTGCTAGAGCATGCCCTTTGGGCTTACTCCCAGCCCCAGCTAAAAACAAAATTCACACCTTTGTTTTTTTCTCCTCTACCTTGATAGATGGGCTTCCCTGCCTTCTCCCTAAAAAATAGGAGAAAGGGCCAGGTTATAAGGATGGCAGAAACCTTAGAAGGACCACCAGGGAGAAAGCAAAAGTCCACGGTGATGGAGAGCTGGGGAAGCAAGGCTTCTATGGCTGGTGGCCTTCAAGGCATGAAAGCAGAGTGGAAGAGGAAAAGGAAGCATGAAATAGGGAGGGAGAAAAAAGGGGAAACAGAGAAATAAGGGAAAAACATGAAAAAGAGAAATGAGGAGAATCTTTCCTTCCCTCTTTCCATCCTAGCCCAGCTGGAAGAAGGGCCACCAGGACATCTGTCTAGCTGGGCTAAAAGGAGAAGCCTAGGCCTTCCATCACCATGGGTATTCTCTCCAGCCCTCATCTGAGCAGGCTGATTCTTCTCACCCCCGAACCTCTCCCTGCAGTTAGTAGGGACAGTGCTTAGGGAATTGAGGGAGCAGGCAGGGGAGTGAGGCAGGCAGGAGAAGGGGCCCGTGGGATAGGAGTGTTGGTTTAGTCCCCAAAGTCGGAAAAACAAAAGCCCCAAAGGGGATCCTCAAACCGGGGTATTTCCAGAGGGACTGATCATCCGAGCCGGCGGATGTTGAGCAGAGAGAGCGGTCACTGAACCTACGCCCCATCAGCCAGGCAGCATCTAGGGTCCAACAGCCAGGCCAAAAGGAGAAGAGAATCTGATTTACAGAGGGCTTCAGCTTGCCCACCAATAGGATAAGGGAAGGGCCAGGGGGCAAAGGGGTGGGTAGCTCAGAGCTAATGATGGGCCCTCCCAACCCAGAGAACATAGGAGCCTTTAGATCAAGGATCAGGCTCTGCCTGCCAGTGATCCTAACCTTGTTGCCTTTGAGTAGAAGCCCTGAAAAGGTATCAGAACAGGGAGATAAAGAGTCTTGGCCAGAGGCAAAGTATCATTGAAAATTTTACAAATAAGTCCTGTCTGGAGCTGGAATCCATCGTGATTAAAGTATCTGGATTTCTGAAAGTGAGCCCCTAATCCAGCCCCAGGATTTTGCCATCCCTTCTGCACCCATGAGATATGGCCCAGAAAAACAGATTTTTTATAAGGCTCTAGTCTATGTATGTAAAATAGCCTCTGATCCAGAGAAAACCTCAACTGGGCCAGTAAGGATTAAGTTCCTTTGTTCACTGAGGAATTTCCACACAGTGTTGTCTCTTTCAACTCTGTTCTACTCAGCTCTTATCACTCACAGAGGAGACAACAGAGGAAAGGAAAAAGACCCAGGACAGAGGGTGGGGAGGTCCAAGAGTTCAGGTGGAAAACCAGACATGCTTGCACAGGAGACCTCTCCTGGACAAGAATGTCTTTCTGGTTTGGAAGATTTAGGGCTATATCACTTTAAGGAACTGTTGCTTCCTGGGGTCTCACACAAAAAGCCAGAGAGGAAGAGACATCATTCTATTCATCTACATTAGCAATTAAGAATAATGTATATAAAATGAAAACAAATAAAAGCAATAAAATAAATGAGTTAAAATAAATGCCATTTTTATATCATGAACCACTAAGGAGATTATTTTTACAAAGGTAGATGGGGGAGGGCAAAGGTAAATAAAGGGATTTAAAAAGCACAGAGTGAAGGGAGACACACTTAATACAATAAACCCAGAGGGCAGACAGCATAAAGCAAGGAAAAAAACACTGAAAGGACAACTATAAAGGAATATCTGGTGAAAATTGTGCTTTAACCAAGGTTATGAGTTGAACTGAGTTCCTTGGTATCTGCTCCATGTGCTGTTTAAGCATGGCAGTGGCCAATGACTTAAACCTGTGTGTACATCAAAGACTCCTTTCCTCATCCCCACCCAAGAGATCACCTACACTGCATGGACAAGGGTGACACAATCTCCTCATCCATGTCATCCACGTCGTCAGTCATGATGAAGTGAGCAGGGTTGTGGCGTGTACTGCCCATCCAGTTGGGGTCTATGTTGAGGGCAGCCACCAGTGAGTGGATGCCAGGGTTATTGACAATCTGGAAGCCACAGAGGATTTCAATCTGCTGCCAGCGGTGCAGGCGCTCCCGCAGAGCTGCTGTCACCTCACTCAGAGCTTGCCTGAGGACAGAAAAAAGAGAAATGCGGCATGGGCTGGGTGTGAGCCTGAATAGGAATGAGGTCTCTTAGAGGAACAACTTGAGAGATATGTATAAATAAGAAACACAATTAAATCATAAACCTAAGAATAAGGTCGGAGCTAGATAAGGGCTGGGACAGGAGACCAGAGCTGTCCTGATACCAATGAAGAAGTAGAATTGGGGTTGGAAGCCCTGCATACCCTCGAATTCTGAGATTGGGAGGGACACCGCCAGAGCCGGGCAACAGGTGCTACTTACTTAGCCGTTAGGATTTTGTGATCCACATCATCTAGGGAAGAGCTGTGGGCCACGTGGAAGGTGCCAAAGAGTGTGTTTCTCTTCTTTTTTATTTTCTCAGCCTGCAAAGATGAGACCCTCAGATTTAAAAAAAGCAGGGATTAGAGTTTGAGGAATATCTTTCTCCTATCACAGTTTAGGCTGCACAAGAAAAAGGAAGAGAAGATGGGAAAGGGAAAAGGAAGGCAAGGGGAGGGAAAGAGTAGAGGAAGAAAGAAATTAGAGGAAACAAGAAAAGCAAAAAGATCCCCTGTCAGTACCCTAGCACCAGGAGGACGCTGCCCCCGTGAGTCTATGGCTGGCAGTCTTCCGTATGCCTGCCTCCATTTGCTGCATCTTTCCTAGAAGGCAAGTGGGATACCCCCACACCCTCATTCCCTGCTCCAGAAGCTTAAAGAAATTATTAGGAGCTGTGTATTAGGAAAAGAAACAGAACCCAGCACTAGGATCTCTCTTTGTCCAACAGTAAGGATAGGGAGAGGCAGAAAGGAGGAAGGCAGGTGAAAGGGAGGGAGGTGAAAAGAGGGCAGCATGAGGGCATGTCTTACCCCCTCCTTGGCCACCAGCAGCTGTTTCTCAGCACTTTGCTTCTTGATGTTGTAGTACTGCACCTCCACCTCATGTGTCAACTGTAGCCACTTCTGAAGGGCATCTGGAGCATACCAGGAGCTGTGTGACTCCAGCTCCTTCTCTGCTTTTCTCAAGGCCTCTCGAACCTGTGTAGCCAAGAGGATGTAAGTCCATTTACTACTACATGACCTCTCCAATACCTCTGTATCATACTTCAGAGTTCTTTAAAAAAATATATTTTTACTGATTACAGAGTGAAAGGGGGAGAGAGAGCGATAGAAACATCAATCATAAGAGAGAATCATTGATCAGCTGCCTCCTGCACACCCCCTATTGGGGATCAAGCCCGCAACCCGGGCATGTGCCCCTGACCAGAATCGAACCTGTGGACTAGTCCACAGGCCCAGCTCTATCCACTGAGCAAAACCAGCTACAGCAGAATTCAGAGTTCTTAATCTGCTATCTTATATGAGCTCTATAATTCTCCAAAGAGGGAGAAAGGGCAAGGATTATTCTCTGTATTTTATATACAAGGAAGCAAGCTCAAGAGGAGGCGCTCAAGAGGAGAAAAGTAACCTACTCAAGGTCACACAGAAAGTACAGCAATCCCCCTTATCCACAAGGATTAAGTTTCAAGACCCCCAATGGATGCCTCAAACCATAGGTAGTGCCACATCCTGTATATACTATAACTTCTCCTATATGAGCATACTTGTTTTATTGCACTTCACTTTATTGCACTTCCCAGATTTTGTGTATTTTACAGATTGAAGGCAGACTCCCCTCCAGCAAAAAGATTACAACTGGCTTTATTGCAGTGGTCTAGAACCAAACCCACAATATCTTCGAGGCATGCCTCTACATACATACACTTCACAGCTTCTTTTTAGCATATCTAAATTGCCAGCATCACTACTCTTGCACTTTGGGGCCATTAGGAAGTAAAATAAAGGTTACTTGAACACAAGTACTGAGATACCAGGACAGTCAATCTGATAACCAACATAGCTATTAAGTGATTACTTGGCAAGTAGCATAGACAGTGTAGATACACTGGACAAAGGGATGATTCATGTCCCAGGTGGAACAGAATGGGACAGCACAAGATTTCATCACACTACTCAGAGCCGTGTGCAATTTAAAACTTATGAATTGTTTATTTCTGTAATTTTCCATTTAACATAGTTGAATTGCTATAGAAAGCAAAACTTCAGGTAAGAGGGGACTACAGTAGTATCAACCAGAACTCAAATTGAGGTTTTTTGGCTACCAGACTAGAGCACTCTTTTCCTACTTATTAGCTGCCTTTCCTGGTCATGCAGCCAACCTCAGTAATCTTCCCTCTCACTTGAGGCACAGGTCAGCTCAATGAATAATCATCTTTCCAAGAGTTGGGGTCTATGCTTGGACCTCAAGACATCACAATGTGGCAAAAACAAAACAAAACAAAACAAACAAAAAACTCACTTGATTAGGAATTCAGAAGACTGGTTCTGGTACCTGGTCTATCATTCAGCTAGCGGTGTGACCCTGTGCTTCCTAAACCAGATCTCAATTCAGTTTGAGGAAAGACTTTCTGGATCTCAGGAGAGAGTGGGCTCTCCATCAGGAGAGTCATATGAAGATCTCATGTCATGACACCTTAAAAAATGATTGCTATTCCAGAAAGGAATTGACCTGAATGAGCTCCAAAGTCTCCTCTACCCAGATGATTCTCCCACTGAGCAGACAGATAGGCTTTGAAGGGCATTCTCTACAAGGTGAGAAGACAAGAAGCATGCTTACACCTAACAATGAGCATTGCCAACCGAGGCCAAGACATGAACGGACAATGTATAAGCCTAAATCTCCTCACTGACTTCTCAGCAGGATCATTCAATGGAGCGGACAATCACAAGGCACTCAAATGAGAAAGGTCTGAAAATACATACTGGTAGTACACACACTAATGGTTTGCAACTCACTCAGGTTACCAGTATAAGTGATCCACTACTCTCCCATCTGGATACTGACCTTCAGCTGCTCAGAATCCCAGCAAAAAGGGATTGAGCCGAAACCGGTTTGGCTCAGTGGATAGAGCGTCGGCCTGTGGACTGAGAGGTCCCAGGTTCGATTCCGGTCAAGGGCATGTACCTGGGTTGCGGGCATATCCCCAGTAGGAGATGTGCAGGAGGCAGCTGATCGATGATTCTCTCTCATCGATGTTTCTAACTCTCTATCTCTCTCCCTTCCTCTCTGTAAAAAATCAATAAAATATATATAAAAAAAAAAAAAAAAGGGATTGAAAGCCATCTCACTGTGACCAAATTCAGCCAATGGGACAAGTATCCCATAGCAGGCCTGAAGTCCTCTCGACAGCCTAAGATAGACCAGGAAGGCCTTAACTAAAGACAGAACACCTTTATTCTTTAGTGAGCCAATAAGAGGGTCAATCTTCACTTGGATTTTGTTCCGTGAAAAAGAAACTATAAAATGGCCCACTCCTGCCTTTGTATACTTAAAATGAAGGATCTATCTTAGAGTCTAATACAGCAAGTCTGCAAGTATATGATCAAGTTCTACATTAAAATCAGTTTAAGGAATAGAATAAGCTAAGAAGGGGAGAATGGAAAGAGAAAAGAAAAAAAGAGACCAAATAGACAGGAATGTGGTAGTTGGGGGAGGCACAAAAAGGGTTAACCTAACAGGCTCAAAAACTGTTTAATGGGAGAAATAATTACAAAATAGGAAACAGGGAATGAGGAGATAGGAGGCAAAGAGACAGCAGACATATCTTGTGCATACAACTAACAATTGCCTGAAGGAGAAGACAACAGATAAGGGCTAGGACAAGTCAGAGTTTACAGTCCTATTCTTTTATTCTATGCCTGTGTTTCTCAGCCTTGTCATACACTGGGATCACGTGGGGAACTTTAAAAATGCTGATATCTGGACTGTAACCCAGATTCTGATTTCACTGAGCCAGTATGTTGGCTTGATCATCAAACAATTTTTAATGCTTTTTATGTGATTCTAAAATGTACCAATGTTAACCACTAATCTATGTGCTTTAAAGTATTATCACCTGACTTTCACCTCCACATAGAATGCAGTAGGTCATGTCAAAAGAATAATTCTGATCAAATACAACATCTGGGAAAAGCTTAGTATAAGTTATAAAATTTTTGAAAGGTAAATTTTTGTAATTATGAAACATTTTCAAAGACATAGAGCTGTAGGAGCAATAAAGATGGAGGTCAGCAGTTACCAAACTGTGATCCATGGATCTCTGAATGTCCCCAAGACCTTTTCAGAGCATCTGTAAGGTCAAAAACTATTTTCACAATACTAAAAATTATTTACCCTTTTCACTCCCTTTCTTTCACAAATGAACTGTGGAGTTCTCCAGAGGCTACATGATGAGTGATATCGCAACAGATTAAATATAGACATTAATATAAGAAGCCTGCAGCATATTAAGCCAAACATTTAAAATTGCAAAATTATTTTTAAAAATCACTCTTCTCATTAAATTATTTCTACTTTGGAAAACCTAGTCATTTTTTATAAAAATGCAGTATTTTTGTTAACATGTAAGAAATTTAATATTCTTTTAAATTAATTAATAATTTTTTTTAAACTTTCCAAGTTTTAATTTTTAAAAAAAGTTATTTGTATTTAGAAAGAGGGGAAGGGAGAAAGAGAGATAGAAGGGGGGGGGGGAGAAAAAACCAAACCATTGATTTATTGTTCCACTTATTTACACATTCCTTGGTTGTTTCTTGTATGTGCCCTGAGCAAGGATCTAACCTGCAACATTGGCATATCTGGACAATGCTCTAACCAACTGAGCTACCTGGTCAGGGTCCCAGTTCTAATTTCTTACAGGGTAAATAGCAACATGTTGCCCCCCATGAAAATATTCTCTGAGGTCCTAAATAATTTTTTAAGAGTAAAAGGGTCCTGAGACCAGAAAGTTTGAGAACCACTAGACTAGATGAACTAAAATTCCAGAGAGGGAAAAGCCTTTCTAGAGGGAACTGGCAATTGTCATCCATTTTCTTCCCTGAAGGCATTTGATGATACTAGGTGAGGACTGAGAATTTGGTCTGGGCCAGGCAGAAGGACTCCACTGGGAGACAGAGAAACAGTCTAGCTTTTGTTCATAGTACAGTACTAGTCTAACAAATTGGAAATTAAGGGGTCCCCAACATACACCCAGCTTTCTTTGTTGGGCATTTACTGAATCCTAGAGCTGTGCAGGAGAATAGGTAGCTAGGCCAAAGAATGAAAACAAAATCTCCCATATTTTCATAATGCTTAGGAGGCAAAATATTGCAAGGAGGGGACCTGCCTCAAACATACAGCGTTCCCCTTAAGACATCTGCAAAATTTTGAAGCTATGAGGAGCAGGAGACTAAAGAGCTAAATTCAAAATCTCCAAGTGGCAGAAATGAAATATCTCATAGTCTTTCAGGATTAAGAGAAGGAAATCCACCAGCTCTCATAAAAAGTTAGGAAAGGACTTGCCTGAGAAACTGTGACAAATGAGTGCTAGACCAAGTCTTACTAAAACTACAACCCAGTTCCAAAAGAGCTCAATCTCTGATTGGCTTGAGGTGATTAGGTCCTCACCTTATATACCTAACAGAATGAAGGGAAACCCTATATCTGATGGAATTTAAATCATCTGGACCCTCTTTTTTTTGTGTGTGTGTGTGTATATGCTGTCCAGCATTTAAAAAAATAAATTACTAGATATGAGAAGAAGCAGGAAAATGTAACCAATAATCATGATAAAGAATTTCTATAAATGATTCAGATATGAGAGTTACCAGACCAGGACTTTAAAATAAGCACAATTGAAAAGTTAAAGAACATAATAGCAAAAGATAAACACAAAGCATAAGTGAAAATATAGAAATTTTAGAAAGGGAACCAGAACTATAAAAGAATAAAATGGACATTCTAGAACTGAAAATACATTATCTGAAAGGAGGATTCCACTAAATGGCTTAAACAGTGCAGTGTTCACAGCAGAATACAGGATTAGAGAATTCATGGATAGATCAATAGAAAATAATCAAACCAAAGCATGGAGAGAAGAGAACAGAGCTGAGCCTAAGAGACAAATGGAATATAGTTAAAAAGTCAAACATAAATATTGGATTCCCAGAAGGAGAGCAGAGAATGGAGCAGAAGCAATATGTGAACACTAAAGAAAATGTGTATTTTATAATTGTTAGGTAAAATGCTCTTGATGTTGTTAAGGTCCAACTGAATAATCATGTTTAAATATTTTATATCCTTACTGATGTTTTTGGGTGATTATTGAGAAAGGTATAATAAAATCTCTCATTTTGATTATGAATTTGTCTATTATCCTTCTAGTTTTTACAATTTTGAGTTATATATTTTTAAACAGGTATATCCAAACTAAAGATTGTAACATATTACTGTTGAACTCACACACTTATCATTAAGGAATATGTTTTTGTCTCTATAATACTTCTTGTACTAAAGTCTACTTTTGTCTAATATTGATATATTACCTCTGCTTTATTTTGCTTAGTGTTTGTATCATATATCGTATCTCCTCCTTTTGCTTTTAACCGTTTTGTATCCTTATACTTAAAGTGTATCTTTTACAAATAGCGTATAGGTGGGTTTTGTTTTTTACCCAGTCTGACACTCTTTGCCTTTCAATTGTATTGTTTAGCCTGTTTACATACACCAAGTGGGAGCATGTCTGAAAGGACTGAAACCATACAACATATGTTCTCTGACTACAGTGAAATTAAACTGGAAATCAAGGAGAAAGATAATCAGAACAGTCTACAAGTGTTTGAAAATTAAGCAACACACTCCTAATATCCATGGGCCAAAAAAGGAATTGCAATGAAAATTAGAAAATCTTTTGAACTGAATGATAATGAAAATATGAAATATCAAAACTTGGTAAATGCAGCAAAAACAGTGCTAAGATGGAAGTTTATAGCTTTAAATGTAAGATTAAGAGTTTAAAAATCAATGACCAAATCTTCCACCTCAAGAAGCTAGAAAAATAAGAGCAAGTTAAAAAAAAAAAAAGACTTCTACCCTGAAAACTATAAAATGTTGCTATGAGCAATTTTAAAAGGCCTAAATAAGTGACAGGATAAACAATGCTCATGGATTGGAAGAATCACTCAGTTAAAATGTCAATTTTCCCCCTACCTTAATCTATACGTTCAATTCTAACACAATAAAAATTCCAGCAGGACGTTTTTTTTGGAGGGAGAGGGTGCAGTGGAATGACAAGCTAACAAGGAAATGCAAAGAACCAAGAAGAGCCAAGGCCATCTTTAAGAAGAATAAAGCTGGAGAGTCCCAAATAGAAAGGTCAATGAATTTAAGGAAAGGCGTTCAATATTATTAATCATTAAGGAAATGAAAATTAAGAGCACAATGAGATACCACTACATCCATACCAGAATGTGTAAAATTAAAATGCCTAAAAAATACCAAGGTTGCAGCTCAACTACAACTCTCACACATTGCTCGTGGTAGTGTATACTGGCACAGCTATTTCAAAAACCTGTCTAGCAGTTTCTAATAAAGCTAACAGAAATAAGCGCTATGCCCACCAAGAGACATGTGCAAGAAGGTTCACAGCACTGTGATTCACAAGAGGCAAAAACCTGCAAACAACGCAAATGTCCATCAGAGGAGAACAGATAAATAACTATAGTATACAATGATTATTACTCAGCAATGGAAATAAGCCAGAAATCACTTTATGCAATAACATAAATGACTCTTACAGACATAATGTTGAAAGAAACCAAACACACAAGAATATATACCATATAATGCCATTTATATGAAGTTCAAAATCAGATGAGACTAATTTGGTTTAGAGATTATGACCATAATTCACTTTTGGAAGGAATAGTGACAGTTGATAGGGATAGCCAAAAATGATCCTTCTGGGGTGTTTAAAAGATCCTGTATTTTGGTCTGGATGGTGGTTACACAGGTATATGCACAAGTAAAAGCTTGCCAGCTGTATACTTATAATCTCTTCACTTGAATCCATGTAAATATCTCAATAAAAAAAGAACAAAATAATTGTTCTCACCTGTTACCAACTGTTCTTTGAAAATCACAGTGACCATTTTTTTTGCAACTTTTCCACTATTCTTTTTTTTTTTTTTAAATATATTTTATTGATTTTTTACAGAGAAGAAGGGACAGGGATAGAAAGTCAGAAACATCGATGAGAGAGATCCATCAGCTGCCTCCTGCACGCCCCCCAGTGGGGACGTGCCTGCAACCACGGTACATGCCCTTGACCGGAATCGAACCCGGGACCCTTGAGTCCGCAGGCCGACGCTCTATCCACTGAGCCAAACCGGTTCGGCTCCACTATTCTTACTGGTAAGAGTCTAGTAACTCTTCAAGATATTCTTTGAGCCACATTTCAAAGTCCTTACACACGAAACTTTTCGGCCAGACTTTTGGCCCCTCCCCTTACCCATTGTGTCTAAGAATGTGTAGTCTCCTACCTGCTCCAGCTCCTCCTCAGCATATTTTTGGCGACTCCGCTCATTTTCAGTGCCCTCCCGCAGCTCCTTCAGTCGCTGGGCTTCCTGCTTGGCAATGTTGATCTCATCTCGCAGCTTCTTCTCCAGGTGGACCTTCTCCACTTCCACTGTGCGGTGCTCCTCCTGGGCCTTGTGCAGCCTGGGGGGCGATGAGGGAGCTGGAGGAGGCCAGGCAACAGGGTACCAGCCACCACGCCATGAGTCATGGCATCAAAGAGGAAACTGAGGGCTCCAGCACTCAGCACATACTCTCTTTATTCTGCTGACTCTCTGGCTCTAAGTTAGTTCAGTGCCAACAGAAACCAGTCATTACCACAATTCTTATACTGGCCATCCTTTTGCTGCCAGTAATAAAATCTGTGAAGCTAGGTTCCCAGGTATCTGAACCCTTCCTCTAAGGCAGTGGTTCTCAACCTTCCTAATGCCGCGACCCTTTAATACAGTCCTCATGTTGTGATGACCCCAACCATAAAATTATTTTCGTTGCTACTTCATAACTGTAATTTTGCTACTGTTAGGAATCATAATGTAAATATCTGATATGCAGGACGTATTTTCATTGTTACAAATTGAACATAATTAAAGCATAGTGATTAATCACAAAAACAATATGTAATTATATATGTGCTTTCCGATGGTCTTAGGCGACCCCTATGAAAGGGTCGTTTGACCCCTAAAGGGGTCACGACCCACAGGTTGAGAACCACTGCTCTAAGGTGTCTGACATGCTAAAATTATAACAACGATTAGTTTACAAGATATTTCACATTTGCCTCCCTGCAGATAATGATATATTGTATCATTATCAGTCTAAAACAGGTGTGGATATAAAGGCTTGGAGAGGGGAAGTAACTGCAGATAGAAGTGAGAATAGAATTCCAGTCTGTATGATTTAAAATTCCATAGTTATTCCCCTTATACAAGGGTGTCTGGAAGGTTCAATATAAATGTAAATACCCTGCAAGCTAGATCAAAGATCCAGAGAAAGCTTAATGGCTGAGTTATAAACGAGGTGGGGAGATTTAAGGAAGGTGAGAAAGGAACCATTGAGCTGTCCAACCAATGTTTGGACTCCTGAGTACCTGTTACCAGAAACACAGAAAAATTAAATTCTTACCAAAGGGGCTAGGGAGAGCTTGGGAAAGCTCCCTGCTTCTCATAGGCCTGAGTTTCCTTCCTCAGTATCTTCCATGGTGGGTAAGATCTCAAAAGCATCAGTTATTATGAAAATATATCCTTCTCCCCATCCATACATTTCCTCCGTTCATTGGCAAAATCTTCCAACCATCCAAGTAAGCCTCCTTCCTTCCTTCCATCTTTCTTCCACATATCTATTTATATTCATTCATTCATTCACTCACCAAGTACTTTCAGGTGTCTACTAAATGTCAAGCCCTGTGCCAAGCCCCAGAAATATGGAAATGAATTAAAAAAAAAAACAGTCCCTGCCACTGAGGCATTCATTATCTAATCTAATTTAGACAAATAGATAACTGTACACAATGTGGTAAGTTCTACAATAGGTAGACATACAAGGTGTTGTGAGAGCCCAAAGGATGGAGTGATTAACTCCACCTGAAAGAGTCAGGAAAGGCAAAGCATCGGCTAGCACCCAGCAGAAAGAGTAAGATTTGCTAATCCCTCTGGAAGAGGGAAAGGACTTAACACAGGGGTGGGAAAACTTTTTGACTCGAGGGCCACAATGGGTTCTTAAACTGGACCGGAGGACCGGAACAAAAGCTTGGATGGAGTGTTTGTGTGAACTAATATAAATTCAAAGTAAACATCATTACATAAAAGGGTACGGTCTTTTTTTTTTTTAGTTTTATTCATTTCAAACGGGCCAGTTCCGGCCTGAGGGCCGTAGTTTACCCACGGCTGACTTAACCACTATCAGGTCTTCTTACCTTAGTAAGAACCACCGAGTTACCAGTAGACCAGGATAGAAGGGAAAAATGGTGATGAAGAAGACAAGTGATGCATGGCTTAAACTGGAGGTACAGCAGAAAAAGGATAGGCTACAGAACAAACAGGGCCACAGAGAAGAACACTGACCACTGAGTTAAGTAGGTGAAACAGAAGAGACAGAAACAGAATTCAACCTTTAAAAAATCCCAAGTCCAGATTGGTCATCAATATCTGAAACCTCAAAAGATGTGGTGGGTTAAGTGGGAAGGGAAGAGGAAGAAATGTCTAGGCTGCTCTCCTACTGCTGACAAGCTGCAGTCTTCTGCCCATTTTGTTCACAGAGAAAGGGAGTGGAACCTTTTCAAAGTAAACACCAGGTGGCACTAAAGCATAACTAAAACAAATCAGAGGCGCCATTTCCTGCCCCCATATCCTTCTCAGGTTGAATACCCTCCTTTATTGTATTCCTTCGAGACACAACTGCCTAAAATTACACCATTAGAGATTCAATTCTTCACGGAAATATTATCCTTGCTGAAAGCAGCCTCTTGAGAAAAGCCTATGGTAGATCTGTCTTCATATAATAGGGAGCTCCTTTAAAGTAGAATCAAAACTGACCCACTTGTATAGTCTTAACAGGATCTAGAAGAGATGAAAATCAATAAATACTATTGGGAGCAGAAATTGAGCAAATAAAATGTACTATCAGGCCTTGCCCCACTCCATCTCCTCCAAAGAAGACTGAGCATCTTGAAGGCAGCAATCAGTTAGCATTACAAGTAAGAAAACTGCACAGCTTTACTGCAAGCCCTGGCTCTAAAGCCAGTGGTTCTCAACCTTCCTAATGCCACAACCCTTTAATACAGTTCCTCATGTTGTAATGACCCCCAATTTCATTGCTACAAATTGAACATAATTAAAGCATAGTGATTAATCACAAAACCAATATGTAATTATATATGTGTTTTCCGATGGTCTTAGGCAACCCCTGTGAAAGGGTCATTCGACCCCCAAAGGGGTCATGACCCACAGGTTGGGAACCGCTGCTCTAAGCAGTTATGTGACTATGGACAAATCTGTTCCCTATACTGAGCCTGTTTCTTCGTTTTTAAATGGGAATCAAAATTCCTGCCTGCCTCAAAGAATTATCTTGAAACCCAATAAAATCCTAACTGGAATGTGCATGTAGCATTACATTTATCTACCCAAAATATCAGGAACTTTGAAAAAAAAAAAAAGCTCTATGTTGGCTGGCAGTGTAGGCCTATTAAATAAGGAGTGAGGAGGTGGCATGTAGCTCTGGACACTGTCAGAAAAGGATGCATGTGTGCACATGTGTAATCCCATCTCTGGGGGTATGTGCATTTGTTTCTCTCAGTGCCACAGTGGTCATTTAGCTCTGTAGGCCGTAGGGAGCAGGGAGGGCTGGGAGCTTAGTTTTATCCCCAAACTTGGAATGTCTCCTAGTTTTCATTCCAAAGGCCTAGATTCGTTGCCTTTGGAATGAAAACAGTACATGTTTTTCAGACAAAGGAAGAATGGGGACTGCCCGGACAGCAGCATTTAGCCCCAATTGGCAAAGGGCTCAGGATCAAGGGGTCTACTAAAGTAGCTAGGACTCAGCTCAGAGATAAAACTCCTCCTTTTACCCCTAGAAACCTGGCTCATGGGAATGAATCTGATAGGACTGCTTTTACTGAGGCAGTACCCTGAGGGTGTCAAAATTCCTAGCTCACTATTTACTGATAATGTGAACCCAAGCAAGGCACTAACCCTCTCTAAGCTTTCATTTCTTCAACTCTAAGTAAGGATAATAATAGTACCTACCTAACCGTGTTGTGATTATTAATAACAATAATGCATTTAAGTGCTTAACAATACCTAACTCACAAGAAATCCTTTCCTTATCCCTCTAAAGAAAATAGTATCTATCATTAAAAAATAACAAAAAAGAGCCAGACTTCATTTCCTTTTACATGGATTCCTACAAAGACTTCCCAACTAGACTCCCTAGTCTGCAGAGTAATTTTCTAAAAGACAGTCTTACCTCTTCTCAAAAGCAAAACAAACAAACAAGTAACTGCATTGACTCTCTGTTGCCTTTTGAATCCTACTAAAGTTCTCCATATGAGTCTTAAGGCACCAGGGCTCTGGCCTCACTACACATTCAACTTTAACTATTGGGACCTCTCTACCCATCTTTCAAGGCCACCTTCTCAGCATCCACATAATTCATCCCCTGCCTCTGTGCTCTTTCAGTCCTTAGAGTTATCATCCCATAAGCTGGCACTGAATCACTGCACTAAGTGTGTGCTCACTGCTCCTTCTCATGTGTGAGTTTTGTTGCCCCAGGAGCAGCGAATTCCTTACAATCCCAGCACAGTCCTGGTTCCTAGATATTAGGAAGTACTTAGATCAGTGGTTCTCAACCTTCCTAATGCCACGACCCTTTAATACAGTTTCTCATGTTGTGGTGACCCCCAATTTCATTGTTACAAATTGAACATAATTAAAGCATAGTGATTAATCACAAAAACAATATGTAATTATATATGTGCTTTCCGATGGTCTTAGGCGACCCCTGTGAAAGGGTCGGTTGAGAACCGCTGACTTAGATCGATTGGTACCCTTTTCCACAACTATCTCTTCAATAGTAGTTTTAAGTCAAGTTTTATTTAGACAGAATTCCAGACTATCAGAGCTGGGCCGTTAATATTCTCCTAGTTTGACATCTTCATATTACTGATGAGGAAATAAGTCCTAGAAGGGAAAGGGATTTACCCAAAGTCATACAAGAAGTGAGTATTTATGAGATTTGGAAGGTAGTAGGAAGACAGACTTGTGAGGCTTCTCTGGAGAATAGTGAAGAACAGTACACTGTATCTATTTCTAAGGGAAAGGAAACAAAGGTACGGTAAAGCATAGAATGACCCCTTAGCAAGGCATCCTACCAGGGAAGCTGAAGACTTCTGACAGCCACATATTTCTTCCTCTGAAGCTCAGAGAGAAAATAGATAGAAATAAGTTTCTGCCCTGGGGAAGATTACTTGCCCATGCAACTGGAATGGCAAGAACCCGGACCTTCAATGCAGTTTTGGAAGGATGGCACAGCCTTGGCAGCCATGTCAATGTGGTCCCAGGGACCAGGTAGCCCACAACCCAAGTAGAAACAGGAGGCTCCCAGGAGCTGGCAACACTGGGGCTGTGGAGAAGGGGCAGGGCCTTACCTTTCCTGAAGGTCATGCAGACTCTGCTCAGCTCGGTGTAACCCCTCCAGATCCTTCATCATCTTCTTCATGTGCTCCTTGGAGTAACGGTTCTGGATATAAGCAAACCAGCAGCCACCAACACCAATAACAATAGACACCACCAGCATGAAGTCCTTGAGGTGATTATGGCGGGTCACTGCCAGAGAGAAAAGGCATAGTAAGTCAGGCTGCCCACTGCACACTTAGCCTTGCAGAGTCCACTGCATCCCCTCCTCCATGAAGCCTTCATTTCTGTTCTTAGACACACACTTGCCACATACTATCACAGTAAGCTCTGTGCCTATTTCTCTGCTAAGTCAAGGACTAGTTTGGAAAGGATGAGAGGCCTTAAAGCAACATTGGAACCTATTAAATCATGCTTCCCTAATATGCAGTGAAGAGGAGAGCACTAGTGTCTTCTCAATACATGCCAGCCATCCGTGGTCTGCAGTTTTGGTCCATGTGCCCAGATGCAGTGGCTTCCATTCTACAGGGTAAGCATGCTAGGGTGCATGAACAGATAGAAGGGGATGGCTGGCAAGGGTATAAAAGCCAAGTTGCTTAGAGCTTGTGATCTGGCTGGGGAACTGAATTACCACAGGAGTTGGGTCTCCTGGATTACTAAGCTATTATATATACAAGGGGCAAAGTCAAAATCAGGTAAAAAAAAATCTGTAAGTCTCATCTATGGAGAGCTTTTCTAGGCTGTGGCTCAATCCACAGACCAGGTAGAACAGGAGTAGCTCAAGCGATTGGTATGTATAAAACAGTCCACATGCCAGGAATAGAGGGGCAGAGCTACCTGCTGAGAATGCCTGGCAGCAATTTGGTGAAGCAGCCAGGGCCCCAGCCACCACCTTGGATTCAGAGTAATAATCAGTCTCCAGAGCAAAACTGAAAAGCTAATCAAGGAATAACAGAAGATGAGAACAAAAGCCATGTCCTAAGAATTAAGCCAACCAGAAGAGGGGCACTCCTGGAGCCTGACATTGTTCCTACTATATTAGATCTGGGCCCAGGGCCAAAGTGGAGGAGACCTGAAAGAGACACCTAAGGAGAAGAGGGCTGCTGCTGTACTCAATTTGGGATAGAGTAGCTGTGGGCTCAGAGGACCCCAGATGTGGGGGTCAGGGAAGGAAAGAAAGAGGGAATGACCTCCTGTGCACAGCAGGTTACCCTCAGGTTGAGGAGAGGAAAGCAGGACTGACAGGATCCCAGGAAAGGAGCTAATGGTAATCCAAAAGGTCCCAGGTAGAGCCACCAAGCTGAGGTAGGGTCTAGACAGCAGAAAAAGACACATGAAAATGAGGCCCAGATTGAGAAAAAGGGTTATATTCATAGTTCCTCACTGAAAGGCTGAGCAGCAGGACATGGGGAGGGTGTGGGATCAAAAGCAGATTAGCACATTCTATTTCCATCCAAGGGAGAGTTACTAGGTCTGGGATGGGACTGGTGTCCTTTACATGTTTATGTCAGATTCTCACAGAGAAAACTAAGGGTCCTCTAGCAGCCAGCCATCTTCTAGCCGCCAGGCAAGCCTACACTTCCATCCATACTCAAGTTCTCATGCTCCTCTCGTCAGGTCCCAAGAAGAGCTATCTCTGCAGCATAGTGAGCTGCCTTTCTTTCCAGAACACACCAGCCTCCTACACAGTCTCCTATTTGTTAAGGACTGTTAACCTTGGCTTCCCAGGGTTTCTCAATTCCAGGGATTCTCAATTCTACACTCCTACAGAAAGTCAAAGGTATTTTTGCTCAAGATTCCATGCGACCAGCACCTCCAACACTTCAGATTTTTAAGGTGGGCATGCAGACTGGGTGCCTATCTATTCTACTCAGTCCCTTATTTAACCTTGTCCAGATCAATTTGGAACAAGATGCTATTATTTTTTCCAGCTTCACAGTCTCATCCAAGTCATGAATACGAATGGCCAGGACCAAGGATAGGATCTAAGGCAGGGGTGGGCAACCTTTTTGTGAGTGCATGCCAAAACCAGCAAAATCTCTGACTCAAAATTCTTCTGCGTGCCAACCCTAATTTTTTGAGAACATGTTATGCCTACTTAATATCTCTTAAGGTATACCTATGTGAAGAACCTTGAAGAAATAATAAAATTCATTTGAGTGACAAAAACACAGTATATGATGATGAAAAATACATTTATTTTTTAATGTATACATGTACACTGATAGTCCGACATAAAACTTTATGACTCCATTTAATATTATCAGTGGGACTTCTGCTGCTGCATCACTGATGACAGAGATTTTTACATCAGGTTTATATTACGTGACCTTCAGAGATATACATGAGCTACTACTTTCATCTGTCAGACTACTCCTATTATGAGACTTAACAAAATTCATCACTGAGAACAAAGATTCCCAAGCGTATGTGGATGAAAACATGGAGAGTAATGCTGTTGCAAAGTTTTTTAAACAGAAAAAATTTTCTGGAATGGCATTCCAAGTTCTCAATAGTTGTTTTCGACACTTCCCTCTGATACTCCTGTCTCTAATCGCTTTTTTTCAATGTTTTCCAAGTCAACTCGAAGGTCAATAAATTTCTGCTTCCAAATTGAGCTACTCTGAAATTCAATCAACTGCATTTAAAGTCAGCCATGTCTATCCATGAAAACATTTGTAAGTTTAGTTCCTCCAGTTTCATGCTGTCTGGAAACCTCATGAATTTTGCTGTCTATTCCAGTTCTCTGAATTTCGCAAATCTTGAGCAAAACTGCTCAATAGTTGACTCAATGATGTTTAAAAACAGATTTCGAAGGCTTTCACAGTCTGTTCTGTCATCTTTTGGGAGGTCTTTGATGTGCCTCTTGAGGTTTGGGAAATATCTAAATCTCTCACCATCCACATCCCTCTTAAAGTTTCTTTTCAAAAGCCTTTATGTAACCAAACATAACATCAAGTGTCTTGCCAGTTCCTTGTAATGTAACATTTAAGTCATTCAAATGTTCACAAAAATTGTAAATGGAAGATTATAAGAGAGGGTTTCGCGAGCCAGCAAAAGTTACTGGCGTGCCATGTTTGGCACGCGTGCCAGGGGTTGCCCACCCCTGATCTAAGGTAATACTGTTCCACCTATCAGTACTTGCTGGATCTCTTCAACCAGTTTTGACTTTACTTAAATGTAAAGCATCCACCCCATACTTACATCCTTCTGCCTTCTCAAATGCAGAGGTAAAGCTCAGGTATGCTATCTGTCACATTCCATGCGCCACCAAGTGTGGTGGGAAGAAAACGAGTCTAATATGGCTGATTTACTCTGTGGCCCTTGATTGTTACTTGTCTGTACATCAGTGCCTAGCACAGCACCGACTAACACACAGAGGCCCTCAATAAATATTTGTGGGACTGAGTTGTTACTGATCAGCCTCAAATATGATATCTCCCTCTCCTTAATCCATATAAGGAACTAAAATAGAGCAAATATACAATGTATCAGATATTTATATTCACCATCTCTAATTCTCACAACTACTCTCTAAGGTAGAGTATTAGTAGTCTCATTCTATAGACCAGAAAACTGTGGCTCATAGGAGCAATGACTTGCTGGAGTTCACAAAAAGTGGCAGAGCTAGGATTCAAATCCAGCTGTGCCTGATTGCATGGTCTTTCTACTACACCCACTTTGTCATGACAACTTTCATACTCATGTAGCAGGTATTGTTTCCACTTTGTTACATACAAATATCTCTCACCATGGAGAGGCCTATATCTCCTGATCTAGCCAAAATGTGACTTAAGAGTTCCAAGGCCCCAGTTTTCCCTTCAAATAACATCTTGGGAGCTGACTGTGGCCTAGCCATCAGGACAGACCTTTAAAAGGTTAAACATAAGGCCTCATGTAGAGAAATTCTGCCATCAAAGAAAGCATCCTAAACCAAGTATTAGGATGTCTAGGTTTTATGCTGTCCTCTTCCCCAATTTGTTATGAAATTCACTTCCCCCATCTGGATCTCAGCCTCCTCAGCTGTAAAATGCGTTATATAGAATTGCTAGAGATCAAATGTGTATTTGTAAATGAACGCTTAGAGATGTTTTGGAAACATTCAGATGGACTTATCCAATAGATAATTAGGAATGTGGATGTGGGATTTGAGGAAGAGATGGAGGCTGGAAGGCTGATATGAGAATTGTCAGGTCCCTTCAGAGGAGCCCTGACCTGAACCCCAGAGTCCTAAATAAATCTAAGATGGTTAATTTTATGTTAACTTGACTGGGAAAACATTATTTCTGGGTGTATCTGTGAGGTTATCTTCTTAAGAGATTAACATTTGAATTGGTAGACTGAGCATCATCCATTCATCCTCAGGCTGCTGAGGGCCTGAATAGAACCAAAGGTGGTGGAAGAGTGGATTTTGTTGGGAGCCATTAAAGATATTGGCTTAGACAAAGCCATCTTAAGAACTATAAGTTTCTGGCTCCTCCAGAAACTCCTAATTACCAGAAACCACCTGTGTCTTGCAAATTGGCCAGCAGTTAAAGATAAACTACCCTCACACAGCCGCTAAATCACACATCTCCACTGATAAACACATAGCCATCCGGAGCCTGCTAAATCACACATCTCCACTGATAAGCACAGCCATCAGGAGCCTAATAAATCTCTAGTAATAGGTTACTGCCCATAGACCCCTTTGCCCCCCCCCCCCCCCCCCCCCCCGTTCCTAAAACAGTATATATTCTGCCGCTGTGAGAATAAAGTTTGAGGCTTGATCAGAACTTGTCTTGCCTCCATTCTTTCGTGTCCCTTGTTTGTTTCATTCTCCTAGGGTGTCTCTTCGTTCCCACGTTGTTGTCCCGCGGGTCGGGACAGGATTTGCTCTCTCAGCTTGAATTGACACATCCTCTTACATCAGTGCTCCTGGTTCTCGGGTCTTGGGACTCAGACAGGGATTTACACCATCAGCCCTCTGATTCTCTGGCCTTTGGACTCAAACTTACACCATCATCTCCCTTGATTCTCAAGCCTTTAGAATTGGGCTGAATTACACCACTGGCTTTCCTGGTTCTCCAGCTTGCCAATGGCAGATCATGGGTCTCTTGGCATTCACAATTACGTGATTTATTAAATTCCTATAATAAATCTCTTATTCATATCTATATACATATCCTATTGGCTCTGTTACTCTGTTGAACCCTGAATAATACAGAATCTATAAATTATTGTGTCAGAAAAAGAGGGGGAAATACAGAAATCAAGTTCTAGTCTATGCCTATCTAGACTATGCCTAGTCTGTGATGTACTTCTTTTCATCATAATCCCACTCTCATTCTTCAGTTCCTACAACCTACCTTCCCAGCCCAGCACAGTCCACAGAGATCCTTCCATTCCTCTTCTCTGCACTAGGATCCCTGATCAACCCTCTCTTTGGACAGGTAAACATGACTTATCTCTAACTATCTCAGGGACTATCTTGTATGTTTTTCAGCTTTCATGTGAGTCACTTCTTTCTGATAGTCTGTGAGTTCCTCAGGACCAAGCACAAAACTAATTTATCTTTGTAGCTCCATACGTAGCATACAGCCTGACCAGAGCAAGTGCTCAGCAAAGGCGGTAAGAAGAGGTTTTAGTCTGAAAAGGGGGGAGGGGCTGTATAATATAAAGTGCATGTGAAGGGCAAATACCAGCTCCTGGGACATGAAGAATATGGCCAGCTATCTTACACAGCCCCTACACAAGCTCAGCTCTCAGCATCCACCTCGCACCCAGAGAACATAGCCTGGGCAGAGAGACGATGGAGTTTTCATTAGAACAGATGTGGCTGGCCAAATGAACAAAGCTAACCCAGGGAAGCTGGCTGAGACCTGAGAACCCAGAGGGTGGCAAAATTCCTAGCCTGAGTGCTGTTAATAGATTTTAGCAAAATGAGGTCAACTGTTCACACAATCAGGCCTAAGGCAGCATAGGAGAGTGTAAACTAATTAGATGCTGACATGTCAACAGAGTTAGGGGTAATGGTGAAAATTTTCAAGGTTCCAGTTATCACTGAAAAGTGAGCCTCTAATCATTATCACTTTCTGGAATTCCCTCTCCCAATCTACTGCCCACAATACCCTGCCCCAAGCAGCTATAGATATTCATGCCTACCTGCTGAAATATGTGCTAAGAGTTTCTTTTGTCATTTACATAGCCTTCTGTGTTGAGGTGTCTGTTTAACCTGGAACAGCTATTCCTGGGCCCACCTCCCTTCTGGTTATAGCCCTAAAAGTGCTCTAATTGCCTCACCTATCCAAAGATGCTCCACAGGTAGCAGTTCTCCTCACAACGAAGCTGGAAAGGATTTTCTCCCAACTCCCCTCAGTCCTGTAGCTCTGGCAAGGCCCAGCCTCCTTCTGTATATCTTCTAGAATACATCACTTGACACCTACTTCTTGCTGGGCCTTTGCTAAGTGCTGATGACAGATGAACAAAGCTATTTCTACTCCCGGGGAGTTCCCAGTTTAAATGGTATCAGACAGGGAAACAGAATTTTATAAAGGAGTCAGGTACAAAGGGCTATGGCTTCCCAGAGGAGAGTAAGAGGGAAGGATTGCGAATACCTGGGAAGAGGCTAGAAAGGCATTCTGAAGAAGGCTGAAGGGTGAGTTGGAACATAACAGAAAGGAGAAAGAAGGTAAAGATAGAGCTGACAGACCAGAGCAAGCTTTGCCAGAGAGGCAGCCACTCCTGCTTACCAAGGACTCTTCCCTATTATCTGAGTCACTGAAGAAGGAAGACAGGTGTAGTGTTGTCTTTTCCTCTCCACAACTTCCCCAACCCCAACAATTGCTTGGCAGGCCTCTCCCTGTACCCTTCTCAATACTCCTGCTGAAGCACCAAGGGCACAGTAGTCCCTAGCCAAGGACTGACCAGAGCAGACATACTGTACTGTACACTGAAAATAGTAGCTACCATTTGTTTAGAAGAAACTGGGACATATAGCACCTTGGGAATATACTCAAGGTCACAAAACATCTGAGTGACAGAGCCAGTTTACTTGATTTCAAAGCTGGAACTTTTTATATAATAATTTGTTTCCTCTACACAAGTAGAGGGTGGGATTACAGAGTAGAAAAGAGCAATGAAATATAAATTAAAGACCTGGGTTTGAGTCATGGCTCTGCCATTTAAATGCTGAATGAACTCTAAACACTCACCTCATCTCTCTGAGCCTCATTTTCTCTGAGAAATTATCTGCAGAGAAGAAAAAGCCCCCTCAACGAATGATCTGCTGCCAGAGTGAGACATCAGCTTGGGCCTCCAACTGGACACTGCCTTGGGCATTGGTTTCTCAGATTATACCTAACACCTGGCTACTGGCACAGTTAGGGCAGCCCCACATGGGCCCTACTATGGGATCTACTATCAGCAAATGGACTCTGAGGTGACCCTCTGCTGAGCCAGTATAATCCCTTTTCCCTCTTTCTAAGCTTTGAAGCTGCTGTGAGTAGATGGATCATGCTCACTAAGCAGACCCTCCTGGCTACTGCACAAACAATCTCTGCTTTTAAGATTTCTCACACCTCAGACCAACAGCAGGCTTTTCATTAAGGTAGCCATGGCTGGCAGTTGTAACTGGCCCAGGTTCTCTGGAGTATTTATCTACTACATGCCTTATGATGAAGCGTGAGAACCACAGCCCTAAGAACTCACCAGGTGAAGAACACAGGTCAGAGCTAGCATAGGCCCTCATTCTAAATCCTGCATGGGCACTGGACAGGGAACAGCACTGGACTAGAGGTTTCAGTCCATGTTCAGATGAGAACACAAAGCCTAGAGTGACACAGATCAAGGGATTCTTTGCAGGATCCCACCAGGCAGGGCCCCACCCTTGCAGAGTCTCCTGGCAAAGAGCTTCCTAGTATTTTCCTCAAATTTCAGCTGGCAATTTTCAAAAATTTTCTTTAACAAGCCTCAGTAGGCAAGGATAAAAACAATATTTTCCATCAGGACAGCTGCTGGATTCCAAAATCTTAGTTCCCAGGAGTATACCCAGCTCTATCTGAGTCCTTGAGTGAGAGAACCAGGAACAGCCTTACTGACCAAGCCCATTTTACAGGTGAGGAAATCTAAGTGTAGGCAAGAGAACTGAATTGCCAAAGATCACTTGATAAGCCAAGGGCCACAGAATTCCTAAAGTAAAAGGATATAGATAGTAGTAGGAAGGAACAGACCTCCTGTCTTTTACACAGGACCCTATCAGCCAAAGGGTTTCCCAAAAAAATTATAGAATGTAGCAGCTGGAATCTTAAGGATCCATTAGCTCAATTGTTTCATGATACAAATCAGAAAACACATCCCGAGAAAAGTGACCTATACAAGGTCACACCGTGAGTGGCAGTTTTTAAAAGAGACCAATGTGCTTTCCTAAACTTAAGTTCTCTATATGAAAGTCCAGGAGTTACAAGAAAATCTAGAGGGCCCTGGCTGGTTTTTCTCAGTGGTTAGATCGTCAGCCCATGGACCAAAGGGTCTTGGGTCCAATTCCCGGCCAATGGCATGCACCTAGGTTGCAGGTTTGTCCCTGGCCCCTGTTGGGGCACATGCAGGAGGCAACCAATCGATGTGTCTCTCTCACACAGATGTTTCTCTCCCTCCTTCTAAAAAATCAATGGGAAAAAAAATACCCTCAGGTTATGTTTTTAAAAAGAATCTAGATGTACATAATGATGGTGACTGAGATATAATTCATACACCCTAAAATTCACTCTTTTAAAATGTGCAATTCAATGGTTTTAGCATATTTACAAGGTTATACAACTATCAGCACAATTAATTTTAAAACATTATCATTACTCCATAAAGAAATCACATACCCATTAGCAGTCACTTCCCATTTCCCACCCTACATGCCAGCTGCTTCTCTGGACTAGTCCTTGGCTCTATAGCGTTCTGCTGTTGGCATCCTCAACTGACGCCAACAGATCTCAAAGGGTGGGGAGTGAACCCTAAGAGCCTGTTTGATCAAGGCTAATCTTCTAAGAAATATTTGTTTCCCCTGAGTTCACTTAGAATAAGAAAAAGGATGTCAGACTCTTGCAGATCTTCAGGGGCTGGACCACCTAATTCTCTCGACTAACTTCTGGCAGAAGAGAACACCTTTCCTTAGGCCTGAGTGTGTCTCTATTGCTTCAGTGAAAGCCTACTTAGTCCTCTTTGGTTGTCCAAGAACACACATGTTCAACAATTACTTCATACATTCCGCACACCCACAGTGAGAGCAGGGAGAAGCGAAATAGCATTCAGCCCTTACCGGTTACTTTTATCCCTGAGCATAACTTTCATATTTTAGCCTTTGTGTTCCTCCTCAGGTTGTTTCCTCCACCACAATGCCCTCTCTGGCCACCTGAATGAAATACAGCCCTACCCCTCCTTAGAGGCAGAGCTCACATGCCACCTCTTTTATAGTATGCCTCCTCCACCCCTCCTCTGGAATTCAGAAGCACTGTGTACCTCTCTAGAACATTCATTTTATCCCCTTAGGGCAGAATATGATTCATCCAGGTCTTCCTACAGTTTCCAGCACAGCACTGGCACAAAGCAGATGTTTCATTAATGTATTTAATGAATAGATGTTGATATCTGGCTGGACTAAAATGTAAAACCATTTAATATCTCAACAGCAGCAGGAAATGTGGAGGCAGGTGTGCCCAGGAGACCCAGGACCTCAGCCCAGCCACCCCAACAGCCTTGGGTTCCATGGCACACCAGCAGCCCTTCTCTCCACAAGACTCACAGAGAGGAGGCCCGAAGAGCACTGTGTCCAGGGCCTTCAGCTGCAGCTTCTGCCGATGGCTCCGGTCTGTCATCTTTAGCACAGTCCCTGTCATGGTGGTGTTGGTTACAGCAAGCCTGTTGAAGCAAAGAGTAGGCATTCAGTTCCCTGCCAGCAAAGCTAGGAAGGATCCTGGTAAAACTCCTCACTTCTTCCAGGAACACTTCCATGACTCCTAGCACCTGGTGGCTGTTCCCTTCTGCATGCTAGAATACAAAGTTTATACCAGTGATGGCGAATCTATAACACGCGTGTCAGAGGTGACACGCGAACTTATTTTTTTGGTTGATTTTTCTTTGTTAAATGGCATTTAAGTATATAAAATAAATATCAAAAATATAAATCTTTGTTTTACTATGGTTGCAAATATCAAAAAATTTCTATATGTGACACAGCACCAGAGTTAAGTTAGGGTTTTTCAAAATGCTGACACGCCGAGCTCAAAAGGTTCGCCATCACTGGTCTATACCGATGGATCTCAGTGGTGGGTATGCAGAGACACATAACATTTACCAATAATTTGTTCACCATTCTCCACATGTCTACCTCTCCTGAGTATCCTAGTCTCTAAGGATATTCATTTGTGACCATTCCCACACCCAGGTGTAAACTTTCCATGTGCTTCCCCTTATAGGGATTATTCATTATATATCTGTCTCCACACTCACCATTTATAAATACATTCTCTTGTCCAGTCCTTGTCAAAATGTCACACTACATGACCCAGTGATTCTAGGGACCTCTGAATTATTCTAATCCTAACCCAATTAAATATATTTAATAATAATATATTTAACAGTCATTAAATATAAACCTGCTGATGACAAATACTGCATATCTTGTTAGCTTATACCTGTGTCACCGTAATTTACTCCCAATCAGATACAGTAATTTTTTATGACCTTCAATCATATTGTTAATAATAACTCTAATAAGAGACGGCCTGTAAACAAGAAAATGACCTTGGAAAAACTGAACTTTGTTTCTCTTCTGCTAGAACACAGTAGGTATAGGAGGAGAAGAGTCTAAGATATGAAAGATTGAAAAGCCACTTGTCTGGATCCCACAAGTGAGCATTTACAACTGTACTAACTAGTCCATAAAGTCAGAGCTCTTTTCTTTATTTTTTTTTTAGAAAAATTTCTCTCTTTCTCTCTCTCTCTCTCTCTCTCTCTCTCTCTCTCTCTCTCTCTCTCTCTCTCCATACCCTATCTGTGCATGAAATTCGTGCACAGGTAGGGTCCCTAGGCCTGGCCTGCAATCAGGGCTAATCTTCCCTGGCTGCCAGCAGCCAGCCCTGCCCCCTGCCGCCACCGCTGGTCGCCCTCTGTGTGTGGGGTGACCAGCGGGGCAATCGGGGCCCTGGTGCTGCCTGCATCCCCTTCTACCCACCCCCAGTTCCCGGTTCCCAGTTCCCCATTGGGCGATTGGAGCCTGCCAGCCAGGGAGAGGGATTAAGAAGCTGGCTGGAACCAAGATGGCGGCATAGGTTAATGCCGGAGTTTGCTGCTTTGAACAACTACTTCAAAAGTGAAACTAAAAGACGGAAGGGACATCACCCAGAACCACAGGAACGCTGGCTGAGTGGAAGTCCTACAACTAGGAGGAAAGAGAAACGCATACGGACACTCAGAGGAGGCGCAGTGCTGAAGTCAAATTCTGAGGTGCGGAGTGCGCGGAGCAGTGGGCACGGTTGGCGTTTTCAATCGGGAGGGAGTCGCAGACTCTGAGCTCCAGATCCGGGCGAGTCTTTAGCGACCCAGACTCAAACGGGAGAAGCGGGACTGTCTGGCTTCGGTCAGAGCGAGTGCAGCTTTCTCTCCGAGCTTTGCAGCGGGTGCTGGGACTCAGAGAGGCAGAGCCCCTGGGGACAGGACTGAGAGCCGCCATAACTGCTCTCTCCGGCCCACCCTGTTGATCCTGTGCGACCTGCCCCGCACAAGCCCTGCACACAGGCATTTGCCGGATAGCCTCAGGCAAAGGCTAGATTAGCAAGCACCTCCCTAGAGGACAGAAGTTCTCTCACTGCTGACACAGCTGATTCTCATAGCCACCTGGCCTGGAGGTCAAACCCTCCCTGGTATTAGCTACAACAATCAAGGTTTAATTATAAGACTGCGAACAAAGACCACTAGGGGGTGCACCAAGGAAGCATAACAAAATGCGGAGACAAAGAAACAGGACAAAATTGTCAATGGAAGATATAGAGTTCAGAACCACACTTTTAAGGTCTCTCAAAAACTGTTTAGAAGCCGCCGATAAACTTAATGAGATCTACAAGAAAACTAATGAGACCCTCGATGTTATATTGGGGAACCAACTAGAAATTAAGCATACATGGACTGAAATAACGAATATTATACAGACTCCCGACAGCAGACCAGAGGAGCGCAAGAATCAAGTCAATGATTTGAAATGCGAGGAAGCAAAAAACACCCAACCGGAAAAGCAAAATGAAAAAAGAATCCAAAAATGCGAGGATAGTGTAAGGAGCCTCTGGGACAGCTTCAAGCGTACCAACATCAGAATTATAGGGGTGCCAGAAGATGAGAGAGAGCAAGATATTGAAAACCTATTTGAAGAACTAATGACAGAAAACTTCCCCCACCTGGTGAAAGAAATGGACTTACAGGTCCAAGAAGCGCGGAGAACCCCAAACAAAAGGAATCCAAAGAGGACCACACCAAGACACATCATAATTAAAATGCCAAGAGCAAAAGTCAAAGAGAGAATCTTAAAAGCAGCAAGAGAAAGAAACTCAGTTACCTACAAGGGAATACCCATACGACTGTCAGCTGATTTCTCAACAGAAACTTTGCAGGCCAGAAGGGAGTGGCAAGAAATATTCAAAGTGATGAATACCAAGAACCTAAAACCAAGATTACTTTATCCAGCAAAGCTATCATTCAGAATTGAAGGTCAGATAAAGAGCTTCACAGATAAGGAAAAGATAAAGGAGTTCATCACCACCAAACCAGGATTATATGAAATGCTGAAAGGTATCCTTTAAGAAGAGGAAGAGGAAGAAAAAGGTAAAGATACAAATTATGAACAACAAACATGCATCTATCAACAAGTGAATCTAAGAATCAAGTGAATAAATAATCTGATGAACAGAATGAACTGTTGATTATAAAAGAATCAGGGACATAGAAAGGGAATGGACTGACTATTCTTGGGGGGGAAAGGGGTGTGGGAGATGCGGGAAGAGACTGGACAAAAATCGTGCACCTATGGATGAGGACAGTGGGTGGGGAGTGAGGGCGGAGGGTGGGGCGGGAACTGGGAGGAGGGGAGTTATGGGGGGGAAAAAGAGGAACAAATGTAATAATCTGAACAATAAAGATTTAATTAAAAAAAAATTAAAAAAAAAAAAAAAAGAAGCTGGCTGGTAGGCTCAGATGATCGGGGCCTGTGGGCTGGGGGCAGCTCCTGTGTTAAGCATCTGCCCCCTCGTGGTCAGTGCATGTCATAGCCGACTGGTCATTCTGCCATCTGGTCGATTTGCACATTATGCTTTTATATAGAGAGATATAGAGATATATTTCAGAGAGGAAGGGAGATGGAGAGAAAGATAGAAACATCAATGATGAGAGAAAATTATTGATCAACTACTTCCTGCACGCACCCTACTGGGGATTGAGCCCACAACCCAGGCATGTGCCCTTGCCTGGAATTGAACCTGGGACCCTTCTGCCCACAGGCCGACCCTCTATCCACTGAGCCAAATGGCTAGGGCTAGAGCTCTTTTCAAATGCATATCTTTGTTTCCCCAGATAGAAAAGAAGCTTCTGACATCAGAGTGTGTGTTTATACTCCTGCCTGGGCATGCAGGAGCAGCTACGTCCTTCTCTAGTCTGAGAAGCAATCGAGCCCACCTACAAGAGAGGCAAGGAGACACTGATAGGAAGTAGGGGGGTCAGCTCTATCATTGAGTGACTAGTCTAATCACAAGCTGCTGAGTCCCTCCCCTAAGGCCTCAGTTTCCTTCTGTGTAAACTTATGTAAAATCAGATGCTTCCTATAAGCCTGAGAATTCTTGGAGACCCTCTTTAGAGCACTTCTACCAGTTGTACTGAACTTCATCTGACTGAGCAAAACAAGTGTCATCTTTTGTACAGTCTATTTGTCAAAAAAACCTATGAATTTGACTGCTATCTACTTCTAAGCTATGAAACAAATGAAAACCATTTATGGCTAACATTTAGTAAGCAACTACTGTGTATCTTGTACTGTTCTGACACTACATTCAATACCTAATTTACTTCTCATGATTCTAAGAACTCAGTTCTATTATTAGCTCCACTTTACAGATGTGAAAACTGAGACTTAGAATTAAGTAACTTGCCTAGTCACATAGCAAGTAAGCAACAAAGCCAAGACACAAACTCAAATCTGCTGGATTCTTTCCATTGTATCGTGCTACCTAGTGATGGGCTTAGAACCATCCCTACTCTATGCACTGAAGGCTCCATGCTTCTGCTGTTACCAGAGTACCACAGCTTGGCTTCTTCTATTCCTGAGCCCAGCCTAGCTGGATCTGGTCTTAGATCTAATCCTAGCCACAGGAGGGCTAAGTAAGACCATGACCAGGGAACTGACTTATCGTAGGCTTTAGTTTTAATCCAAGCATAGCCATTCCTCAAGGTGAAACGGTCCAGTGATCCACAAGGCACTGCCACTATTTCCATGGGTAATGAGAAAGAAACCTAAATCCTGGCGCTTCATGATCAATCATCTATTCAATTGCTTGTTTTGTCCATCAAACCTGGAGTTCCTAAAAGCAGATATGAGGTCTAATGCTTGTCTTTGTCCTCAGGACCCATGGCATATGGTAGGTGCTTGGTAAAATTTGTCAAATAGAACTGAACTGAATACTTCCAGGAAATCCATCTTCAACTGCATGGGGCAAGAGGGAGAAGCAGTGAAAAAAGCAGGGCACTTAGAACCAGGCAGACCTAGGTTCAAATCCCAGTTCTGCCACTTGCCAGCTTGGATAAATCATAAAATATTTGAAATTTAGTTTGTGCAGCTAAAAGTTGGGACAGTAATTCCTTCCTCCCAGAATTGTGTGAATCAATTAAAATAATAGGTAAGAAAGCACTCTATAAAGAGATGCACAAACATTAAGATTATTATTCTCTCCAGGGCAGGGAGAGCTATGAAGAGAAAGTTACAGGCAGCAGAAGAGGGAACAGCCAGCTCAGCTGGGCCTGGACAGCAGTGTCTGGTAGTTCTGTGGCTGGAGACTACAATGTGTGGGAATTCCAACAGCTTTCTCCTCCACTTTCCCCTTTGCTGAAGCTCATAACCAGATGCACCTACATAATAAGATGACAGAATATACATATACACAATCAGCACTTACCAGACAGTAAGCCCTTTGAGGACAAGAGCAGGCTGTTGTCACCTTTATCCCCAGCCCCCAGCACAAGTGCTTGGCACAGAGCAGGTACCCAGTAAATATTCGTTGAATGAATAAGTAAATGGATTAATGACTGAATGACATATGGCACTAGTTTGATATAACAAGAAGTCCAAGCAGTACTCCATCTCCTCCCCACTCCCACCCCAAGCCCTAGCATATTATGCCTGCAAAGGAGGCAAAGTTAGGGCACAATACCTATTGGAGGAGTCATTCCAGAGAGGAGGTTGTGTCCAATGGCAGTCAGCCCCCACCTCTGCACAATTTCTTTAGAGTAGATTAACTGATATGCATAATTCTGTGGAGGCTAAAAGAGCCCCAGAGACTCCTGGGCAACAAAAGAGACAGCTGGGTGAAGGGGGCGTGAAAGAGCAATAAAGAGAAACACCACAGAGTTTGATGTAAGAATTAAATGAGATACTGTATAAAAAGTGTTGAAGTAGAGTGTCTAGCATGTACTAAGCACTCAATAAATGGCAGCTATTAGTACTATTCCCAGTATTGATAGAAATATTAAATAAGAGAATGGATTCTAAGTAGTCATCTGTTTTATGGCAAGTGCACAGTAGATATGAGAAGAGGAGAGGTCTATAGATTCTACCCTAAAAAGGGTGTAACCTCATTTAACTGGCCACAGTAACCTGAAGGCAGGCCAATCCCAGCCCATTTCCTGTACTACAAGTGAGAGAACCCAGTCTGACCTTGGCATGGCATGGCCACTGAGCTGCAGCTTCCGGAAGGTCTCCTCATACTGAGGCAGCTCCACATATGTGATTAGCCACTGCACCACCTCGTCCACGGTCCAGTTGTACACTGTGGGAAGAGAGCAGCAAAGCCATGACTCCAGCACGCCAAGCAAGGCTCACATTTGCTGTCACAGTCACACTGACCTTAACATTTACACATGTTTATGTGTTTAACATTTCATTCTCCCATAAAATCCTACATAAAAAAAGGAATACACACTCTACTTTTTATTTATGTATATACACAGGGGTGGGCAAAAGTAGGTTTACAGTTGTTTGAATGGAGAAAAACATTAATAACAATACAAGAATAAACTGTTTTTTATATTTGCAACTTTTTCCCACCCCTGTAATTACTAGCAGCAGGAAAAGTGAAGGCAGGTGTTATATCATGTATGTTATATGATTATTTAGTCACATATCTCTCTTCTCCATTATACTATAAATTACATTTAATTACATATACTATATGATATTATATAAAGAGAGATGGATCCAAATGATGTCACTTAAGCACTGAGTCAGTTCACAAGTTGCTAGCCCTATTGACAGATTTTTAAATTTTGTGTAACAAGTAAATTTCCCCTTCTGTTTATATCAGATTGAAAAGATTTTCTGTCACAACACGAGCCAATTCTAAATGACATAATTACTGAGTGATCACTAACAACATGTAGAATCACATCATCACCCTACATGGCCACGGTAGCTAGTCATTCCTCAATATTATAATGTTGTGATTTAAAAAAAAATCCTTACCCAAGGATATGGTGTGTGTTGTTTTGTTTTGTTTTTTTATATATTTTTTATTGGTTTCAGGGAGGAAGGGAGAGGGATAGAAACATCAATGATGAGAAAGAATCATTGATTGGCTGCCTCCTGCACGCCTCCTACTGGGGATTGAGCCCGCAACCCAGGCATGTGCCCTTGACCAGAGTCGAATCCAGGACCCTTCAGTTCACAGGCTAACGCTCTATCCACTAAACCAAACCGGCTAGGGCAGCGGTTCTCAACTAGTGGGTCGCGACCCCTTTGGTGGTCGAACGACCCTTTCACAGGGGTTGCCTAAGACCATCCTGCATATCAGATATTTACATTATGATTCATAACAGTAGCAACATTACAGTTATGAAGTAGCAACGAAAATAATTTTATGGTTGGGTCACAACATGAGGAACTGTATTTAAAGGGCCAGAAGGTTGAGAACCACTGGTGTGTTTTTATTGATTTTTAGAGAGAGGAAGGGAGAGAAAGAGAGAGAGAGAGAAACATCAATGTGAGAGAAACATTAACCAGAAATAGAACCACAACCTTTTTGGTGTATGGGACAATACTCCAACCAACTGAGCCAACTGGCCAGGGTATAATGTTGTGATTTAAAAAATAATCCTTTTAAGATAATTTTAATATGTGTGTGTTATTTAGACACCTAGATAACAAACTGAAAAGAAAGGAATAGAAGTGGACTTAATGCACAAGGAATAAGTTTGAACCAAGGTGAAGGTCAAATGACATCATGATGCATAACATAAATAAAAGTTTCATAGTAGTGTGAATAGAGAAAGATGATGGGAGGACTGAGTCGTCAGATGGCAGCCAGTAATAAAGGCATGCTGAACTTAAAGTGCCAGGGACAATTGAGTTTCAGTAAAATGGTATCATTTTATTGGATTTGAAGTTAGTTTTTATTTAATATCTAAATCCATTTTTGTTTATATTTGCATACAAATTTTATATAGCAACTTAAACCTCATTTTATGTTTATACACATTTAAGTAACATTACAGTAAAAATAATTTTTTAAAAAATATATTTTATTGATTTTTTACAGAGAGGAAGGGAGAGAGATAGAGAGTTAGAAACATCGATGAGAGAGAAACATCGATCAGCCGCCTCCTGCACATCTCCTACTGGGGATGTGCCTGCAACCCAGATACATGCCCTTGACCGGAATCGAACCTGGGACCTTTCAGTCCGAAGGCCGACGCTCTATCCACTGAGCCAAACCGGGTTTGGCACAGTAAAAACAATTTAAGCTAGCATTTTAGGTCTGAGATAAATTATTTCCCTTACAAGGAATTTGTACATTCCTCAATGTACAAATTCTGAAAACTACTGGAGCAGCAAGAAGCCTAAAAAGTTTTGAAGCAGAATGAGATGGTAAGCTTTATCATCCTCCTTGCTTAAGATTCCTATCACTATAAAAAACTGTCTTTCATTAGAATGCTGTCTAATTTCCTTTTAATAATTAGAAAACATTAAGGCATAGGCCATGTCCCATTCATTTTTGCTCCCCCCATTGTCTCTAAAATAGAGCTTCATATACAGTGGCATTAATAAGAATTTACTCAAAGAATAACTACCCTAAGTGAGAACTTCCAAAAACATTCTGACTATGGGCTGAACAGCAATCTCCTTAGACTAATATACCAATCGTGTAGATGGTTAACTTCTGAAATGCTTGTAAAAAAAAAAAATAGGCATTCCTCTGGTAGGCACACCTGAGATCTTAGGTTGTTTCTGTCACTCTCACATAAGATAGAGAAGTTGGACAGCTGGGCCCTGTCCCTTCATTCTCCTCCTTCCCCTACAAGGGAACCCAGCACTGGTCCAAAGTAGACCCTCAGAAAGATATCCTGAATGAAACAAATTTGAAGGCATAAATGCTCCAATCTCTTGATGTTCTCAAGAAGCTACTGGAGCTCAGGAGGAAAGTTCTGAAGCCAACAGACTTTGGAGATAGATTAGACTATTTGCAGAGACACCGGAGGTGAGAAGGGAAAGGTGCCATGGGATGAAATGAAGCAGGTATAGTGCCCTAAGGCTATATCCTAGAAGACAAGATGCTAGAGGTTTAAGTGAAGAGTGCCTAGTCATTGCTTGGCCAAATTTCTAATTCCTAGACTAAAATACTGTGTAAAGAAAAGAGTAATTAATTTCCAAGAGATATGTTCAAATTCTAGGGCTTGGAAAAGGAGGGATGACAGAGCTGGGATTAAAGAAGCATTACAGAAAGTAGAGTGTACTAGCCATTATTCCTGAAAATGAATATATTGCCACACACATTACAAATGTGATCATTTACTATGGTTTGGAGTATCAGGTAATAAAGGTGTAGTAGAGTGACACACAGACATGAGGCAGGCAGACAAGTGCTAGCCTGTAAAGTACAGAGAAAAACACACTCCTGCCACTGCTGCCAAGAAAGCTCAGTCCCATCCAGGACAAAGGGGCCTTTTTGCTGGGCATATGGAGTGGAAAGAAGTCCACTATTTTATTGCTAGAAAGGCCTGAGGCCAGTGGTGCTACAAAGGCCTTTTGTCTACTGGGAGGACGCCTTGATACAAGCCTGAGCACAGACCTTTGGTATGCAGGAACTCATCTATCTATACCCTACCCTGCAGTGGAGACAGGCAGGAGTCACTCCAGACCAGGGTTTCTCAGTCTCTGCACCAATGACATTTTGGACAGGATACTTGTTTATTGTGGGGTGGTAGCCTGTGTATTGTAAGATGTTTATCAACATCCCTGGCATCTACTCACTAGATGCCAATGACATGCTGCCAGTCATGACCATGAGAAATTTCTCCAAATTCTACCAAATGTTCCCTAGGGCACAAAATTGCCCCCAACTGAAAACTACCGTTCTAAACACTACATTAGGTGAGGCAGAGGGCTTATAAGGGGTCACTGCAATCCAGCGAGGAACGACTCTGTACACACTCAGCGCTATAGAGCTAAGCTATAGGGAAAAGGATAATGGTTCAATATGCCAGGCCAAACCTCAAGGCAGTTGGTTTTAGTTTTTGTTTTCTGTGTTCAACATATCATTCTGTTGCCGGGGCCAGTTTGGCTCAGTGGATGGAGCGTTGGCCTGCGGACTGAAAGGTCCTGGGTTTGATTCCGATCAAGGGCATGTACCTGGGTTGCAGGCACATCCCCAGTAGGAGATGTGCAGGAGGCGGCTGATCAATGTTTCTCTCTCATCAATGTTTCTGGCTCTCTATCTCTCTCCCTTCCTCTCTGTAAAAAATCAATACAATATATTTAAAACACACACACACACACAAAAAAAAACAAAAAACATATCATTCTGTTACCTAGGCAGATGCCCTACCTACGTAGGGCGTGGCAGCATGGAGTTGTTCAACCAGAGTCACTGCAGTCTAAATAAAATAAGCCAGAATGGGCTGCATTCTTGTCAGATAGCAACCCCATGTTCCAGCATGAAGAGCTCATTGAGCAGTCAAGTTGAGATATCATCAGAGTCCTTTGTCCCTACAGTTCAAGTACCTAAAAGTTAAAATGCTTTCTCATTCCAGAAGAGAAAATGAGAAGTTTCCCTGGGCCAAAGTGAGGGAGGAGGCAATAGCAGGTACAGAGAGGCTGTGGCTGTCAGTGAAAGGCAAGGAGAACTTAATACAGATACAGGCTCCAAATGAATCATATATCCAAATCCTAGTAGGACATTCAAACCAGAGGTAGTCTATGATCAGTCTTTCATCCCCCTGAGCCTGTCCATGTGGCCCCTTGAGAGATCAAAGACTAAATCTCGGGGGAAAATAGCAATACTACACAGAACCAGAGAAGGCTAACCCCTAGAGTTTTCAGCAACAAACAGTCCTTCATAAGAGGATTGAATAAGGTGACTAAATTTGTAGTCTCAAACCTGTTTCCCCCAAACCTTTTTAATGACATAATCTACCTGCAAAAAGGTTTTGAGCACACACTGCCAATATATGAATATCTTTTTATGAATCAGACATTAGATATAGTTTAAAACAGATATAAAAATTAAAGTGTGAGATAAAAATAACCGCAATATAAATACAAGCTCTAGTATTTTCTTATGGCACCCCAACTGATTGTCTTGTGCGAGCCCTGCTGAAGTGTGCATACTGCCATTGGAAACTATGAGACTAGCAATCTAACTGATCCCAACACATATGACCTGCACTTCACAGTCTTGTCCTAGAGGCTGCTTCTGCTGTAGCTCTTAACTTTGGAGTCCTCTTCTAGAATCAGTATCTTATATTATTTATTTATTCATCCTTGAACATTGCTCTC